CGTCCCCCGCGTCGCGACTCCGCCCGTGGGTTCCTTCCCTGGCGAGTGTGGGAGCCGTCCCACGGGTCTCCAGAGCCCGACCCAAGGCTCCTGGGCAGTTGTCACGCCGACCTTTTGCTTACAAAGCCCGCTCCCCTCTCCCCCAGCCCCGCGCAGCTCGCGGCCGCCCTGCGCGCCCGGTCCGACCTCCCAGCGTTATTTCGGGGGAGGGCCCGTCGGGCCGTGCATCACGAGGAAATGTGTTTTACATAGAAAGACTTGGGAGTGTGTAAGAGGTAACGGTGCGTGATGTCACTCGTATGCTTTATCTGGCCTACCTAGGAGCGCATTGCCCTCTGGAACCGGGGTTATGCGGCCCGCTCTTGGGGTGACCCCTGTGCAGGAAAATCCGTCAGAATTCCGAAACGCCTTGAATGAGGCTATTGAGGAGTCCTGTTAGGATCCCAGCCACACCTGTGCACCTGCCAGCCCAGTGTTTAAACGTTTCGGGGCTGTTTTCCTTTTGGTTTCAGTGGAGAAAGGGTTGAGATTTTTCAAAAGAAACCCCTATTAAGAAAATAAATGGAAACGCTCTACCGATAACCGAGAAAATCAACAGCAACCGTTTTAACTACAGAGTGCAGCTCTTTGACACCCCCCCGCCCCCAATCACAAACATTGTGGTTAGTTACCAGTTTAGAGCATTCAGTCGCATTTCTTCTCTTCCTCTCGCAGGGAATCTTACCCAGGTGTCTTCCATTTAAACCTTGCTCGCTGGTTCTCCTGCCCTTTTGCTTGAAGAGTTTCCCAGTAACACTCCACATTCTAGAATTATTTTATTTCATTCCCTGGGCTGGCTTTGATCTATTCCTACTAAAAATTATTCTTTTTAGTCCCTTTTGGTTTTAAAAATGATTTCCCCCTGCCCCTGTTTGTGTAAAATTTAGTACACTACACCCGTGCCTTCCATGACTTGTTCTGTGATTCCGGTAATAGATTTTTAGCTTATGGTACTGTTCCAACTTTAGTATATGTGCTGCCGAAGCGAGCACAGCTTATGGTACTGTTGATGTGATCATAGTTGACCGTTTTTTAGGTGACTCTCAAAAGATAGATGGGATAAACTGCTAAAGCCATCCTGATTACTTCATTTGGTTTAACCACAGAATTTTTTCTTTTTGCCAATCCTAATGAATCTGGAATATTTTCCCCAGCCTCCAATGAGTATGTGTTTAGAGGAGGGTATTTGGTAGGAGAAAGGGGACCGGTATGTGGTGACCTTTATTAAAATATAATTAATTCCCTTGGAGAAAAATAAACCTGTTAGTCTTCAGTCTGAACTACTTTATTCGTAATCCTATTTGTAAAAATCAGCAGTATTGAGGGGATGGGACTTCTCACAAAGGAGGAAGGTGGGAACAAGGAGGGTTGTCAGAGTGGAAGATTTCTGAAGGTGAGCTTGGAGGGCCTGGATGCCTGGGGCTGAGGCACACTGGAGAAGCATGATCCGTGAAGCAAGCTGTGGTACCAGGCTATCCTCCACATTTTGGCTAGAAGCCCTAAGAGTTAGCATAAAATGGGGAGCCCTTGGGTATTGTTCTGATGGCAGTAAACCTTAGCTTCCTGCTCAGAAGTCAGGTTTCCTCCCTGGGCCAGGCTTATCTGCTTTGGGTAGATTACTACTGTCTTGCTTCCAGCCTTTCCTTTTCTAAAGTGGTGGAGTGGAAAGAGAAATGTTTGTGGCCAGCTGTTCTAGTCTGTATAATACTCAAGCTTTTAAGACTCTGGCACCCATTCTCAGTGAACTGTAATTGTTTGCTGTATGTGGACCTTGTTCAGAAAGTGGCTAGGGAGGTTCAAAGGCTGGAGAATTCAGGCAATGGTTGAAGTTGCAAATTCAGGGAAAGAAGGTTAGAATCCTAGTTTCACCATTACTTGCTAGGGAACCTTGGGCAAATTACTCATCTGTCTAAAAAACCCACTTTCTTGTAATACCAACTATCTCTTAGGTTTGTTGTGAGGATGAAACAATAAGCTCTGGATAGCACTTAGCTCATATGGTAAGCTCAGCCTGTTACCTGAAGGGAAATGGAGCAGAAAAAGGAACTTAAAATTTTGCACAAAATTTATATTTGCAATTCTGCCCTCTCTGCTTCTTAGTAGAGAATGAATGGGTGAAAGGGGAGAATGGCTAGAAAACTCTACATCACATGTTAGTGTGAATCAGGTACTTTCAAAGTAGACCTTTTTTTAGCCTGCCCACTATGGCAGGCCCCCTGTAAAGTCATGCAACTGAAATTTGGTGCAGGGACTGTTCGGGATAAAGCGGCCTTAGAGATTTCCCTCAGATCTCTTAACTCCCTACCCTCCCTCAACTGCTGTATCAGAAGTTTGAATTGAGGGCTGTCTGTATTAACCATTACCTTGAGTATGTGGCATTGGGGCAGGGAGGGTTGTGCATTTGATAGAATTATTAAGCTCTATTTAAGTTTTCATACTCTCAGTATCTCAAAAAAGATAGATATGAAAAAATATACAGCGGTGCCTCTTTACCAATTATTTTTTATATTTGCTTTTTTTTTGGCTTTTTTAGAGCAATCAAGTTAGAGGATTATATGACTTCTATCTGCCGAGAGAAGAACTGTGGATCTACAACATGGAAACTGGAAGATGGTAACTGTGGATATTATGAAAATCCAGATAAATTGCAAACAAAAACATACTCTGTAAAACCCATTCTAATGAATAAAAATACTTTAATTAAAGAGGTTAAGGCCTCTACATATTTTGAAAACAGTGTTCTGCTAGTTTAGCTTAGCTGCTTTAGCATCTCTGCAGTAGTTCAGTAGTTACTAGATGCTTTTATGACCTTTGAAAAAATTGCTGTTCAGAGCTGAGTGAAGTACTATAGTAATAGTAAAGATGTAGAGGCTTCAGATTCTGGAATGGAAATACAGAAGTTCTATATTTATTTTTTTCAAGATTTTATATGTTCTGTTATGCAGTCTCTTGAATGAGAAAAGAATTTCTAGATTGTATCTGCTAGAAATAAAGGTAGTGTTCTATTTTAATGAACTCTAATATTGAAATATCTATGTAGATCTCTTTGCAGTTGACTTAAATTTGCCTTCCATAAAAACTGGGGATATTCTGAAAGCACCTTTTGCCAATCTCATAAAAGTAGTACTCAAGAGTATGTTCTTAGCAGAATTAATGTGATTCTCAAAATATTGGGTTGGCCATTTTGGGGGATTTATAAAGTAGTCTTCCCCATGGTTTGCTTTGTGAAAGCTTTCTGTGTTACATATTTTAGCATATCATAGACCTCAGACCTAGGAGAATAGTAGCCCGTCTTGATCAAGAGTTCAGTTAAAAATAAATTAGGATTATTTTTAGACGTAGCCCATCAGTGTCAATCTAGCTGTTTAATGACCTTTTTCTAGAGAATTGGAAATTCATACTAGTATTCCTTTAAAGGGGAGTTCTACATTTTTTTTTAACAATTCAGCCCCATGAGGAATTTTTAAATATTAGTCTGTCAAAACTTAAGAGTTTAGCATAGATAAAGTGATACTGTGAGCAAAAGACCCTGAGTGTTAATTAATATTCTGAATCTTAGGAGTCTTAGCTTTCTGACTCAGATTCACTTTTATCTTCAGAATGAGTTAAAACATGTAAAGAGCAGTCAGAGGAGTGCCTGGCCTATAGTAGGCACCGCCTAAGTGTCTGCAGTCTTATATCAGGTCTGAATCAGATTCATATGAATGGCTAAAACGTGACTGAGTTAAAGACACCTATTAATCTGTCAGCTGGGATACCAAAGTTTTTTTCATTTTGGGTTCTTGGTCCACTCAAAAACAAAAACAAAACGATTATTTTTGGCCAAGTGAACAAAAAAGCAAACGATTTAGTTTGAGAAACATAAGATGGTTTACTCCTAGAATAAGAAAATATGACAGGTAGGCTTTTAGATCCTCCCATTCTGCCCACGTGTAGACCTGCCGGCTCAGACTGCAGAATGGGTGAAGAGGGGTGAGTTCTTGTAACTAATTTTAGAGCCAGAAGAGACCCTCGACAAACCTATTCAGCCTGCTGGTTTTATTTTTCCCCTTTATTGTGGGAATAGAAGTAGAAGAAAAACTAATAGATTTTTGCATTTCTTTTTGAGAAATTTATTTACATTCATTTTTTCCCCCTCAGGAAAAAAATTAACACTGAAGGTGATGTTCCTCCTTCTATGTCAGGAAGCTGTGCTGTGTGTGTAGACAGGGTGCTGTATTTGTTTGGAGGACACCATTCAAGAGGCAATACGAATAAGGTTAGTGTTTCTAAGGATTATGGTTCAAGGCAATTTCGTTCTTTTTCAGACATCTTCAGATTTCTAAAGTTAGCCCATACTTATTCCTGTTCCAGTTGAAAAATATATGTACTTGATGATGGTATGAATGTGCAGTTTAGTGTTTTGTCTGCCAGTCTGTATTTACCTAGGTCTTTTGTAAAATCAGCTTTGGTTGTAATTTTTTTTATTCACTTTTTTTTTTTTAGTGGAGGTACAGGGGATTGAACCCAGGACTCCCCTCCCAAATCAGCTTTGGTTGTAAAATCAGAGGTTTTGTAAGGTGTGTACAGTAACTTCTAGGTTTTCTTTTCTTTTTTCTTTTTTTATGGAGGTACTGGGGATTGAGCCCAGGACCTCATGCATGCTAAGCATGTGCTCTACGACTGAGCGTATTATACCCATTCCCCCAGGTTGCTTTCTTTTGTGTTCTTTGAAGCTGCTTATTCTCTTAAACCTCTGAAGTGTTAGATGAATATTAGTTAACTACATGAAAACAAAATGCAATCATTGGGGGCAGGGTAAAAGTAACAGGCCACCACTCAAAAGGCTGGAAGGATAAATTAATGCTGATGAAATTTTATATACTAACATTCCTGGAACATGGCACCATAAGATATTGTTGTTTGGATTTTGTCTGTGTTTTTCCCAAATAGGAAGAAGTTACCAGGTTTTCTTGGCCAGAAAGAGACAGATGAAATCAGTCAGAAAGGTGCATGTGATATAGGTTGACTCTTAACAATTCATTTCTTTGGCAACTTAGTAAGCACCTTAATGCTGAGCACTTGGTTAGACATTGGAGACAGAGATGAATGATACAGTCCCCAGTGCTAGGAACTTACATTCTAGAAGGGACACATGTAATACGACTTCAGTAGCATGAGGAGGAGGAGGAGATAAACAGAGTCTGGCTCATAGTAACAGCTCAGTAAGTACTGATGAATCTGAAAAAGAATCCTTGCCATTGTGTGTGGTAAGAGAGAGGAACAGAAACATTAAAGTCTTCACCCAAGAGGCAGTGTTTGAATTGAATCATGCACTTAGAAGGGATAGCTAAGGTTTAGGGACCAAGATGCAGAGATATAAGCAAATATGTCTTATTCATGGAAATGCCAAGTGGTTTGGTGTAGGTGGAGCACGTGGCTGAAATGGTTTCAGATTTCAGGCTGTGCTCCTAGGAACTCCAGGGATTTCTTTGAGATGCCTTGGGACACCTGTGAGGGGAGCATAATGGTGTTAGGCAGGCTCCAGACTGCCCCTTCCTCCTCCATTTTAACAAGTGTAGCTCCACTTTTATTTTTATATTTAGGCTTTTGATTAAGATTTTGTTTGAAGAAAGGATTATGTGCCTAAAAGGTTTTCTGAGGCACTGCTGTAGGCTGGAGTTGAGCCATGTATTTTTCAGGGCCAAGGGAGAGAAAAGTAATTTTGACACAACATGAGGAAGCTTGGGAAAAAGAGAAGCTGTGGCTTTTGTTGGGGGGTGGGGGTGGGCGGTAGTCAGAGAAATGGTAGTAGTTAGTTCAATGACTGTGGTTATTTAAGTATGACTGAAAGGAAGCTTTAGGAGTCTTAGAGAAGTAAAAAAAAAAAAAGAGAGAGATAAGATTTATTTAAGTACCTGGACATGAACTCTTTGAAAGAAAGATGAATACTTAATCTTACAAGATTTATCCTTAGCTCCTAGAGTTAAGTAGGCACTTAAGACATGTTTGTTAAACTGAAATTGAAAGCAGAATTGCTGATTTTTTGGTTAATGTCATCTTGATACCATAAATTAGATCAGTACAACTCAAAGTACCTATCTAAGGCCAAGAATGTAAATCAACACACTTCTACTCCTTCATCAAAAAGGTATGTATGGGAAAAAATAAGCTGAACTATAAACAGGATGCACAGTGACTTTGTAATTGACGTTCTGGCTGAAGTTCCTTATCTAAACTCAGACCAGTTAACAGTTTGCAGACGGGCAGCCAGTCTGCAGTTACACTTTAACTAGCACTGAAATAGATGACATTCTTACTGTCATAGATCACAATAAAACTAAATGCCAAGGCAGAATTTCTTTCACATAACAAAATCTAACTGAAATCATTGCTTCTGACAGTTCTACATGCTGGATTCAAGGTCTACAGACAGAGTGCTACAATGGGAGAGAATTGACTGCCAAGGAATTCCTCCGTCATCAAAGGACAAGCTTGGTGTCTGGGTATATAAAAACAAGTGAGTTAGTAGCACTATAGGTTTGGGTTTTATGTGGAAAGTGGTTTGCCATTCAAGTAGCCTTAGCTCATAACCACTGTAACTGCAGAACATGCCTTCAAGGGCCCATATGAGGACTAAGTGTAGTGGCAGAGCACTTAACATCGCACCTAAGACACTGTTTGCCATATTAGCCATTATTATTTGAATAAGTATTTCGGTATACTCACGTGTGCCTTCTCAACTCATGGAATATGACAAAATAAGAAAAAAATCTCTTGTAGATGTTGAGTTTTTAGTATCTTGGTTTTTATCAAACAGGTTAATATTTTTTGGAGGGTATGGATATTTACCTGAAGACAAAGTTTTGGGAACTTTTGAATTTGATGAATCGTCTTTTTGGGTAAGTAAAGTTTCATATTTGCACACGGCTTACTTATTAGTCTGTTGACATAATAACATTTTATGTTTGCTATTAGCTTTGTTCATTTTGCCTTGTTAATAAACCAGACAAAGGCTAAGTGATTTTACAAAACATTATTTGTAAAATAACTCAGATTTTTATTATTTGTTTTCTGTAGAATTCAAGTCATCCGAGAGGATGGAATGATCATGTACATATTTTAGACACTGAAACATTTATCTGGAGCCAGCCTGTAACTACTGTGAGTTACTAAAGAATAATGAATTATTAAAGCAAGACTGTTTAGAGAAGAAGGGGAGTTGGCAGGTAGTGTACAACTGACAGTTCATCATTCTCCAAGGAGTCTAAAACTCAGAGAAGTGTAAGGAATGTACAGACTAAGCCATTATCTATTACCTAACAGATGTTAAGTGGTACTGTTTGTAATTAAATAAATGACCTGGTGCTAGACTGGAATTTAAGGTACTCAAACATTAGATTTCTTTTTCCTCTAACACAGAAGTCATATAATGTGCTAGTTTTATTTTAAAAGATAAAAGTAAGCAGGCAAATATTTTGTTATATGGACTAGCCCATTCAGTAGTACATCTCCAGAATTAAAATTCCTGGTTTTCGTAGTCATCCTTCAGTACTGCTGTTTAACCAGATGTCTGTACTGCAGCTTAAAAGCTCAAGTGTCTTGCATATTCTTATCTTACATCCAGAAGACTCTTTCTGGTACTTACAGAAAGTTCACTTATTTATTGAATTGCTTTCATGACTTTGCTAGGGTAAAGCACCTTCACCTCGTGCTGCCCATGCCTGTGCAACTGTTGGAAACAAAGGCTTCGTGTTTGGAGGCAGATATCGAGTGAGTAAATAGTTTCAATGATTTGCTTTTGAAATACCCAAAATGATAACTACTTGTAATTATCCTTTTTTAGGATGCCAGAATGAATGATCTTCACTATCTTAATCTGGATACATGGGAGTGGAATGAATTGTAGGTATCACTTTAGACAATTATTTAGAAAAGTTTCTCAAAAACATTACAGTGGATTTTCCCCTTACTCTCTATTATTAGTATGTAATGTACTTGCTTACATTTTCTGTAACTGTGAATTTAAGTAAACATCACTAAATCCTAAAGAAGGTATTTTATTTTTTTTATTTTCAGTTCCCATAAGTGTATGTCTGGCACATAGCATGTGCTCAATGTTTGTTGACAAGAAAAGGTCTAAAGTTGACTCTACCTTCAAAGAAAATAGTTCATTCTAAAGCATGTAGTTGTTAATACCAAGAAGCCTTTTTAAAGTTTCTTTTCAAAATTCCATACAAATTTATAAAGAAAACTTCAGTATTTCTCTGCATTACAGTAGCTGCTTTTAAACATAGATATTGTAACTTAGCTATTGTTTTCAGAATTCCACAAGGCATATGCCCAGTTGGCCGATCTTGGCACTCACTAACACCAGTTTCTTCAGATCATCTCTTTCTCTTTGGAGGATTCACCACTGATAAACAGCCACTAAGTAAGTCCTTTAAAAACATAAGAAATTACTATGTATCATTCATATATAAGTCGCTGAAAAAAGAGTATTTTAGACATATCAGAGGGCTCTAGGGTTGGTTAGAAGGTTTGATACTAATTTTGATCCTGTAATTGTTTTCACATGACATACATCCATTGGTCCAATAAAGAAATAACCTGGAGCACTCTGCCCTGCAAAAGGGCTGTAACATGCAGAGGGCTTACTGAGTAAATTGAAGAGAAAAAAGGGAAATATACTTTCTGTTCCTACTCAAAATCTGATTTATTACCATTCTTGTTAAAACTGTGCCCTTTAAATATCAATGTCACATTGACAGAGTAACATACTTCATAGCTCGCTCTTTGCTTCATTCAGGTGATGCCTGGACTTACTGCATCAGTAAAAATGAATGGATACGATTTAATCATCCCTATGCTGAAAAACCAAGGTATGAACTATTTAAAAGGTAATCTTTATGCTGAATGAGGTCTATAGAGCTGTACAAGGTTGGTAATGACTGAGGAAATTCTGGCTGCATTCAATCCATCATTCTTGTAAAAATCCTAGCATTCACTAAGGTTTAACATTGTACTTTTTGAAAGAAAAGAAAACCAGTGTATCCTAGTACCAGTGCTTTCTTCTCCATTATCTGTGTGTGAAAAATAGTGCTGGATTTTGATTTTTGCTTCATCATAAAATGGACATGTTTAAAATTTATACTCAAGTTCTTTACTCAAGTGAGTTGAACTGCATCTAGGTTTGTCGTTAAAAAAACTGGAAAAGAGACATTTCAAAATCCTAATGAATGTTAATGGAGGAAAAAAACAACTTTCAGATTTGCATTTGTGCTATATAACAAAGATTAACAAAGATTAAGTCAAATCATCCAGAAAAACCTATTAAAACACTGGTAGTTATTTGTTGTGTTAACCTCAAAGAATTGTTACAGAGACTGCTAAAGGAAAGATGATGTCAAAATTGGTGTTCAAAGCACATTTAGATAATGTCAGCTTGCATTTTCCCTCAAGCCTCTAACCTAAGTGCAGTCAGGCCATTAAGATGTCATTTGGCACAAATATTCTATCTATAGAATTATCAAGCCTGAAGATACTTGGTTTACTCAGGCAGATTCAGCATCCCTCACATGTTTTGTGTAAGGCCAGTTGGCCCTGCCGATGAAAACAGAAAGGAGAGGGCATATACCACTCATCTCCCGTAAGACATTTATTGCAAACAAAGCCCTAGAGAATAGATCATTCAGTTCAAACCCCTCATTGCATAAATTAGGAAGGGACCAGAGAGATAAAATTATAATATCTAGATAAAAGATAACTGATTTTTCTAACTTCTGCTACTTTTCCTTGAGAAAATTGCTTCTCACCATTATGTTCTAGTTTGCACTAAAAATCTTTAGTCTTTAAAATCTCATCAATTTGGTGTTTTGGGTGACTTCAAATTCAAGCTTTTGTTTTAAATGTAGATTATGGCATACAGCTTGTGCCAGTGATGAAGGAGAAGTAATTGTTTTTGGTGGGTGTGCCAATAACCTCCTTGTCCATCACAGAGCTGTAAGTACACTACCCTTTATTAAAAGACACCTCATAATATTGCTGAAACTTTCTTGTGAAGTACTTTTAATGTGTTCTTCGTATCTATTTTTTAGGCACACAGTAATGAAATACTTATATTTTCAGTTCAACCAAAATCTCTTGTAAGGTAAGTAACTTTTTACTTGGTGCTTAGATTATTTTAAATTGTTTCTTAAACACTTTAAATTAGTGCTCTTGAAAAACCAGGTTTGTGGATAATTTAAGGGGAATAACAAACCTTCATTGATAAAAACTATCCAGAGTTCCTGTGAAAATCTTTAGAACTGTATTCACTTGAAGAACTACCCCCCCAACACACACAAAAAGGTACTTTAAACAGTAAAATGAAACTATTTTTCTTTCTTTGTCCACTTTCAGGCTAAGCTTAGAAGCAGTCATTTGCTTTAAAGAAATGTTAGCCAACTCATGGAACTGCCTTCCGAAACACTTACTTCACAGTGTTAATCAGAGGTTTGGTAGTAACAACACTTCTGGATCTTAAGGCTTCATAAGTAATGCCTCTGATCACTTGCATGGACAGCAATTCTGTAAACATCAAAGTGACATCATTTGTATAATTATATGCATTGTTGTAGTTTGCAGCTTTTTGGTTTTAATGTGCATGTGAATGGCCTAGAGAACCTATTTTTGTGTCTAAAGTTTACAATAAATGTATTTAACACCAGTAACTGCCTTCTATTAAAACAGTTAATGCTTGGGCTTTTTACCCTGAAGGATGGTTATATGTTTCCTATTTAGTAACATCAAGATAGATATTATACTAATTCTTACCACTATCAAAATGATGAAGTTATTTTAAGACATTAATTTTTTTTTCTTTTAATGGCAGGAGTAGTCTATCATGTTGTATTTACAACAGTAGGCTACATAAAAAAAATTTTTAAACATTAATTTAAAATGGAAAAATATTCTTAACAAGACTAAGCTGGTAAAAGAAACCTTGGAAGGACCAGCAGCCATTCAGTACTTTGACCTTAATGCTTTGGTGTAGGGGCAGGGACAAATGCTCATGTTGACTAAAGGCAGCTGTTGTCTAACTACTTAAAAAGTAAGTTTTGTAGCGCATAAAAGAATGGAAATAATGTATGACTTTATACTCCATTCTGGTAGGAGACAGTAGAAGAAAGCTAGGTCGGGAATCTTAATAGTGGTAAGCCTAAAAGTGCCCTTATGATATTATGTAACAGGTTAAGATACTCTGTAACATGCTACTTCTATTTACAAGAGGTGGAAAATGGTACAGAGCTGAATGAGATTACAAGGAATAAATTAAAGTGAAAAGTAAAGGTGTATAAATACATAAAAATGATCAACACCAATTTCTTCTAGATGTTATTTAAGCTGAGTCATGGAAATTATCTGTATTTAAAATCTGGTCTAATATATTTTTTGGTAAGTGTAAAAGCAGAAGGACGTGTACTACTCCTTCAATACTTAGGGTTTCCAAGTATTTCAAGTATTCCAATACTTGGAATCTTAAATGTTTAACCACCCTCAACCCCCACCAGAAAAAGAAACCTGTGATTGGCCTGTGAGTAATCAATATATTAGACATCATGTACAGTGGACTACCAAGAATAGTCTGAGCAGTTGCGCCACTTAACTATTTGATTTCTTTACAACATGAAATGAATACTTAATATTAACCCCCCAAATTTCAGGAAAATGTAGAATAACTACAGATGTATACAATTAGCACTTAGCCGTCCACAAATATTTTAGGAAATCCTATCATAGACAGTTTCCTCCCTATAAAACTGGAAAAAAAAAAGAATAAAGTCCTTTTGGTGAATACAGCAAGGCAATGTTTAGTTCATTTTTAAATGTGGAAGTCTTGTTACATGATGTTTTCATCTCTGAACTTCCAAAAGGCTATAAAATTGGCTCTTCAAGTATTTTAGGATTTCATTTCAGCTATTTTCTTTTTACATTCAGAAGATTGGGTGCAGAAACTTTCACTTTCCCAGGAATGTTTCTTGATAAATCCGTGTCCTAAAAAAAGAGAACTGCTGAATATCCATATAGATTATGAAAGATAATCATGTTTTCTTTTATGACAACATATGTCCACTGCTATAAAAAAAGGCATTTCTAAAATTGTCACCTGAAATGATTTTACTTATTTTATATTTCTTCTAGTAAGACAGCATTTTCTAATAAAGCAAGAACAAGAATAGAAAATTATAACTGCTAACATTTTTAATTGCACTACCAATCTCTAGAGATTTATAGAGGACTGTTTTACCTTCACGCTGCGGAATAAGTCTTTTTCTCTTGTTGTTGCTTCTTTGGAATGCATGAAACTATTCAAGGCTGTTTTTGCAGCTGTAGATAGAAAATAGAAGAATCTACTTCTGTTCAGGCAAGAAATGCTTAAAATCTTAATTCAGAAAAAAAAAATTTTAAATACCTTTTCCCTTTTTCTGAACTCCAGGAGTAAGTTTCACTTTGTATCTTTAAAAAGGAATTGCATGTGTTACTAAACAGATTATTAAAAAACAATTCATCAGTCAGTACTGTGGTAGCTATTTGAGTAAACAAATGATGACTTACTTATAGTTTGCCATGGTGGTGTAGGGGGCACATATTGGAATGGCAAACAGTATTACATCTTCAGGATGTGGCTGCCCTGTTAACGAGTCAAACAGATTTTCCTAAAGAGGGAAAACAAAAACAATTATAAAAGTAATCTGTACCAGCCCTAAAAAGTGAGAACTAAACATTGTCAAATTAATACCAACATTTTATCATTTACTGATAGACAGTCTTAGACCCTTTGGAGCTATAAAGCAGAGTTTAAGACTAATGATGTGTAAATGTATACCCTTTGTTGCTAGAAAATTTTGCCTAGCCTAATGAAAAACAATTTTCAAAATGGCACCTGTAGATACATTTAAGAGAAAGGGAGGAAAAACTTGCTGGAGACGTTTTTGGTCGTCAAAACTGAAGAGAGGTTGGAGGGGAAATAAGAGTACTGCTGATAAGTACTAGTGGGTAGATGCCAGGGATGGGACAGCTCCCCACAACAAAGAATTCTCTGTCTCACAGTGTTAACAGTGCTGAAACTGGGAACGCTAGGCTAGAAGAGCCTTTCTCTGGTGCCTGTTTCTAAGAAGAAATCTTAGAGCTTCTTAAAGTTCCCCTTTGGGGGACTGCCTACAAGACTGTCCGTATTTATTTAACAACATGAGTAAATTTAGATTTAGGACAAAACCCTTGGCATAGTTAGTGCTTAATATATGCCACAAACTTTTCTGAATGTTTTATGTATATTAGTTCCCCAAAAAAGCTCTCAGTAAGGGCAATTATTATCCTCATTTTTCAGATGAGGAAATGGAGGTGCAAAGAGAAACGTTTCTAACATTGTAGTTATATGTAGTAAAACTGGGGTTCAAACATTCCTTCATTCCAGAGTTTAGTCTTATATTAGCCTTTTACATCTTAATTAGTTAGAAGTTGTGTGTCCAATATTTTGGGACTGGATTGCAGTCAGTGTTACAGTAGGGGCCACAACACAAAATCATACCTCATTTCCTTGTTGGTCCAAATCTTGTTCTTCCTGTTCCAAACATAAAATTTTAAAAGTCAGCTGTAACTTAAACTGAAATGCCACACCATTAAAAACTATGAGAAAAAAAACTGATAAAATTAAGACTGAATAAATTTGTTTATCTCTTATATCAGAAAACAATGCCATTCAAAGAGAAAAAGCACTGTTCACTCTGAAGTTAAAAAAAAAAGACTTCCATAGAATGTATGCTAAAGTAGTAAATGCTATTCGGACAATTAAAAGTGACACAAGCTTGGTATGTTTGCTGGGGGAAAGAAAATGGAGAATTCTGGTGAACAGAATTTTTATTTGCTAGTCTGTTCAATAGTGTTAGGATGAATTTTTCACATAGACAAACTTAAGCTTAATATTCACATTAAGAAAAATCTGTCTGAAGATAACCTATAGGTGAAAGAACATTCATAATTAACACCCCTGAATATCTGAATCCAGAGTTTACAGAATAAATTAGGAGTACGAGAATAAACAGTATAAAAATTTGAGCACCAAAATGAGTTTTTAATATTACTAAATAACACCGTTCAGGGTAAACAGAAAACAGTAATACATTTAGGGTCCCTGTGAGCATTACCTGCAGAGTGGAGCACACAATTAAAAGCTTTAATCAAATAAAGGTTCTCCATAAAACTGTTTTCTAAAGGCTTGTGGTACATTTTTAATCAGCTATCAGCACTGCCACTTTCATGCTTACACACTGCAATTTTAGTCTTTTAGGTTGTATTTCTAAGATGACTTTCCATTAAGAATAGGGTTACCACTCATGCTGATTTCAGCACTGTGGGTCCCATGTCCTGGTAGTCCTGGGATGGTTGGTCACCCTATTTAAGAAGCAGAAGCCCACATGTGTGGTAGCCTTACCTTATCATCATGTGGATCATCTACAGCCAAGTCTTGTAACTCATGGGTTGTAACATCAAGGGATGGGGTTTCTTTCTTTATGCTTTCTGAAGCCCTTTGTCCACCTCTAGGTTTCTGGGGCTGTTTCTTCACTGGTTCATCCTTTATTTTACCTTTCTTCCCCTTCTTCCCTTTTTCTTCTTTGTTTGAACCTGCAGACTTTAATTCATAGAGGAAAAAACAGTGTTGTCAGTATTTTCAGTTTTGTCAATGTTTTAACAAAGTATTGAATGCAAAGCATATCACAGTGGTCTTGATGCCCCTTGAAAAACAAAAGAAGATGTTTTTAGATGTTACTTACCCCAAGCAATTTCATAATGAGTTCACGTTCTTCTTCATCTTGGTCTTTGTATTTTTCCTTCATTTTTTTCATTTTACTCTACAAAACAAAAAAAACTTGGTTGGAAGAATTCAGCAGTAAAAAAATGTCAGCACATGTTTGTAAAGAAAAGGTGTTTCCTTAATTTTCTGTTAGAAATGCTTACTGAGTAAGGCACCGTTATAATAAACAATATGGAGGCTATAAAAACAGATCAACTATAGTCCTCACCCCCAAAGATTTTACCATCTGGTGGAGAAAGAAGATACACGTAAGAGTAAGGATAAATTAATGCAAAATATTTTAAATGCAAACAAGTTTATTTCTAAGATAATTTAGAGAAAGCAGACATTTCTTTCAGCTTGAGCAAGAACTGTGGGGAAATAAAGCAAAACTGAAAGATTTATAGTATCTGGGAATTCAGGAAAAGCAAGATTATAAAGACAGAACAGAGTAGTAACAAGAAGTCACTGCACTCGGAGTCAGGATATACATGAAGAGGGAGAACAGGAAAAAAGACAGCAAAGCTTAGCTGGGTATTTATTGTAGAGGCCCTTTTAACACTCTGAATTTTATCAACTAAACTACTGTTTCTTTACTCTGGGTACACATCCAAATCACCCTAGTAGTTTTTAAAACTATAAGATATCTAGTTCACCTCCAAAGACTTTTGTCTTGACTATTCTCAGCTAGGGCCCAAATAATAAATTTCTAAAATTTTAAACATTCCTTTAAACAGGACACAAAAAACTTAACTATAAAAGATTGATAAATCAGACCATTAAAATTAACAAATGCTACTCATCAAAAAACACTATTATAAATAATAAAGTGAAAAAGCAAGTCTCACAACATGAAAAGGACTTGTAATACATATAACCAAGACAAGACATATACAGGATTTCAAAGAATTCCTATAAATCAATGAGAAAGCTGGACAACCCAACTTTTTAAAGGGGTACTTCAAAAAGGACATTCACTGTACATAAAAGTAATAAAAATTCTTCAGCCAAAAAAAAAAAGGATATTCAAAGGTCTAACAAACATGAAAAAGTTCTCCACATCATTAGTCATCAGGGTCATCAAAGTAAAGCCACATTACGATTTCAGTATGTATTCACTGAATGACTTAAAAAACAAATACCAAATGTTAGTGATGATGTGGAGCAACTGGAACTCTGATACACTGCTTGGTGGGAAGTTGGTACAAGTACTCTGGAAAACTGATAATGTCTTAAAGCCAAATGCAACACATACGCTATAACACAGCAATTCTACTCCTAACTATATAGGACAGAAATGCATGCTTGAGGACCTAAGAGATACAGGTCTTCAATTATCGGTAATACAGCAGACATATAAACTGTGGCAGATTCATCAATGGAATGCTATTTATTTGGCAAAGCAAATGAACTACTGTTACATACAACAACATGGTAAGTCATAATGTTGAGTGAAAGATGCCAGACAAAAGAATATACACTGTATGATTGCTTTTTTACATGAAGTTCAAAAACAAGCAAAATAAGCTCCAGTGATTAAGCTAAGAATGTTTTTTTCTGGTGGAGATACTACTAAGAAAGGGGCAAGAGACTGCCTTCTGGAGTAGCAGAAATATGAAAGTGTCTTGTTCTCAGTGGTGGTTTCACAGATACATGTGCATCTAAGAATTGAGCTAATAAACTTGTGATTTGTGCATTTTACTATATGCACATTACATCCCATGAAAAACTGAAAATAAAATGAACAGTATTACCAATAAATTGAACGAAGAAATGGAAAGCCCAATAAAAAGAACTTAGTTTCTTAGAAAATATAATTCAGGAAAATCAGCTTTGGAAAAAAAAAATCCAGAAAGCTGAAATGAACTTTAGAATTACTTTATCAAGTTAATTAAAATCTCAGTTCTTTTTTGAATGACTTCATGTTGAATTTACATATTAATATGAGGAGAACAGATTTCTTCCCTTCCATATGTATTCCTTCACTTATTTGAAGCCCACTGGAAAAAACCCTAGGAAATTCTGACTACTGTGGATGGTAGAAAGATCATGAAACATGATCTTTATTAAGATTTCAAAGGAATTTAATTTTTTTAAAGATATGCTGATACATTAGCTAACAGTGTCTTTATACTACCACAGCATTTTTAAAAAATATAGTCTATAACTATTACCTCTTCCTTCATCACCTGCCTTTATAAAATATGTAAGAACTGTAACCAAAATTGCATTAATAATTGAAACAACTAAGTTAAATTATCAGTAAAGACCACCACTGCCACTTATTAGGGGAGTGTCTCTGGCAAAGCACAATCTCCTGTTCCCTTTCTACACAACATAAGAGCTTCTGTACAGATGTATAGAAAAGAACAGTGATCTCTATGTTCTCTAAATACTCTTTTCAAACTAATTTTCAAAGGAAGTTAACATAGTATTACTCTTTTGTCTATATCTTCTATTTCACTTAAACTTAAAAACTTAAACAGGAATCTCACAATTTCATTAGTGAACCATATAGTACTAAGTTGAACAGTTCACCCCAAAGTAGTAGTATTACCTTTTGTCCTCGTTTCATTGGCTGCACAGCTGGGACATTTCTGCTTGTGTTCTGATGAGTTTCAACGTGCAGAGTATTTTCTTTTTCTTTGTCCTTTCCTTCTACTATTTCTAAATCCCCTGAGTCACTGGTAACCTTTTTCTTCTTCATTTCTCTAAATATAAATGAAGCAGAAACATCTAATTCTTAGAATTTCAAAATCTGAGTACCCTAAAAAAATTACACAGAAGAACATGTTCAATACATAAAAGATTATAGTTTCTGCTTAACTTGATATCAACCAGGCTGTAGTATACAAAGAAGCAAAAGTTATCACACAAGAAAAAGCTGAAATTTTTTTTTCTCATAGATTTATCATTCTTTCTGTCATCCATGCTCAACACATTGTGACCCCTGACTTACCCTTGTTCAGTCCCTCAACAACTTGATGGCCAGGCACTGGGATTTGTAGTCTTTGTATCAACATGGCCTTGGCAGATGTTAGGTATTCAGTAAAACATTTATGGATTGGTCAGTTGCATAATTGGATTTTAAAGATAAGCAGATTAAAGAGGAAAGGGAAATTCTATTTTTCATGTGCAATCTCTTCTATTCCCAGTGCCACTGCCCTAGTCCAGGTCCTTATCACTCACCACCCAAGACTTCCTCCATATTTCCCCCCATAATCTGCTCTACATGAACTTCCAGATTAATTTTCATTAATTGATTACCTATGTCACATTCCTATTCAAACTCTTCCAAAAGTCCTCCTCACATCACTTTCAGGATAAGTCCAAGACACTCAGCTTGTCAAAGTCCTCCACTTTTGGTCCAATTTCATTTGGTCATCTTATAATATACCAGTTCACAAACATGAACTTCCTGCATTCTCCTCAGTCCATTTATCATTACCCTAAAGCATTATGAGTATTACTTCCAAATACCCACTACCTCGCCTGCTCTGATCATACTAATTCTCCTTGGAGTCTTTGACCTTAACTTCATTTACCTGAGGTCCTACTATATGTTCAAGGTATAAATTTCTGATGGTATTTCCCAAAACTGAACTCACAGTAGTTTCTTACTCCTGAACTACTCTTACTACTTTCAGATAGCACTATTTATAGATTTATGGCCCTTTCCTTAATCCAGGACTCAAAGCTTCTTGAAGGTATGGATTTTATATTTTAACTCTTTGTATCCCCAAGTCTTCCTCTTATATAAGAACTTCTGAATTTCACTACAAGCATGCCTCAGAGATACTGCAGGTTCTGTTCCAGACCACTGCAATAAAGTGAGTCATACAAATTTTTTGGTTTTTCTGTGGATATAAAGTTATGTTTACACCATACTATATTAAGTGTGCAAAGCAATTATGTTTAAAAAAAAAACACTGTACATACCTTAATTTAAAAATAGGTAAAAAATACTAACCATCATCTGAGCCTTCAGCAAGTTGTAATTTTTTTTACAACAGTAAGAGCAAAGTTTACTGATCACAGATCACTATAACAAATATAATAATAATGAAAAAGTTTGAAATATTGTGAGAATTACCAAAATATGACCCAGAGAAATGAAATGAGGAAATGCTGTTGGAAAAGTGGTGCTGACAGACTTGCTTGATGCAGGGTTGCCACAAACTTTCAACTTGTAGTAAGAACAGTATCTGTGAAGTGCAATGAAATGAGGTGTGCCTGTATGCCTGTTTATTTCTGTCAATATTGTCCTAGAACCAGCCTATTTAATACACTGCAATTATTATTATACATATTTACGTAATAAAAGGTCTGTCTCGTATTACCTGACCTACCTCACTCATTATAGTGACAGACCAGGGCCCTAAAGGAGAAAAACCCATTAGAGCTAAATATTAAAAACTAAGCAAAATTTATGCTAAATCTTGGTAATTTTAATAAGGAAGATCTTTAGAACAACTAAGTGACTTGTCATAACTGTCAATTAAAAGAAAATACATGCTTTTCAATTAAATAACAAATATATTTACCTTCTTTCTTTGGCTGACAAATGCCTCCGACTCTGCAATTTACTGTCACTCTATTAAAACAAAAAACAAGCAAGTCAACCAATAACATCACTACTGTTAATTTTTCAAAAACTAAAATTAAAAGTAGAAAATTATTCTATTCACTGAGAAGGACATGGTGTTCTTCATAAAACTTTGAAAAAAAAAAAACTTTACCATATTAGAAGATTCCTCTTTTGAAGTCAATTTCTGGAGGGACCTATGAAAACAAACAGAAAGAGGATTCACTAGCCTGTAAAAGGCATTCATTTACAAAGTCCGAAAACATCCCCATATCATACTCTTAATTATTGGCAATCCTATAAATTTCCAAATTTGATAAAATTAGAAAAAATATAATCAAATCACTCATCTCTTCACTTTTAAATACATTCTTAATAGCTGACATGTATTGAACACCGACTATGTGCCAGGCACTGCTAGATGCTTTACATGCATATAATCTTCACCAAAACCCTAGGAAGTGGGTACCATTCCATTTCACCAAGAAGCCTGAAGCTTAGGCACAGAGTCACTTGCCCAAGGACATATCCTAAGACTTATTACTGGTCTGTCTGACTCCTAAGGCATTCTTAACTACTCCAATAATAAAGCTTTTGTAACTATGGTATTGTTTGCCTGATGATCAGTAAGCCATTAAAAGACTAAAATACCTTTTTTTAAAAAATGGAATTGCCTCTCATTATTAGCACTTACAACCATTAACTTGTTACTATTTTGACCTAGTTTGGCCACTAGTTTTATATTTACTGTGTTTTTCTACCCTGGGTCCTGGGAATTTCTTGAGAGATCTACACCCCTACCAAATGGTGAAAAGACAGTAAGATTGTAGAACAATGAAGGATAAAAAGCACTGAAGTCAATCTTGGCATTATTTTTATAAGGATTAATTCTTCATCGTTCCCAACTTCCAAAATAAAACTTAAAATTATAGGTTTCTACTTACCTCTGGGATTGAAGGTGGGACAAGTCAATTGTAGTATCAGGATAATTTAATGTCTCTTCCCCTTCAGCCTTTACTTCACCAGCAGGTTCCTGATCTTTTACCATCTCCTCAGATTCTCCATCTTCAGAGCTTTCTTCCTGAATTAGTTCTTCATTTAGCTCATCACCACCACTCTGAATAGTAATATCCTCGTGGTCAATCTGAGTCACAAGTTCTACTTCCGCAGGAGTTTCATGTAATTCTTCTTTATCTTCTTCACTGCTACTGTCACCTCCATCTGTAGAATTACCACAAGGAAAGTCAGAGTGCTACAACCACAACAAAGTTATATGATTTCCCTGAAAACTTCTAAAAATATTCTATTCACTCCCTGATTCTCCAAAATCACCAGAGAAATGTCTGATCATCCCCCCAAATCACTCTGACTTAGACAAAAGAATACTCTGTATCAAAAATTGGCTGGAATAAATGATCTCCAACATCTTTTACCACAATAAATTTCTTGGACATCGCAACCACTTATACAATGAAAGCTATAGCTTGTCTTTATCAGGTATTTCCAAAAAGGAGGACAGTAGAAGCACAGCATAAATTCTGCCTGTTTTATTTTAATTTGCACATGAGAACTGAAATAAAACAAGTTATATAACTGGTTCATGACAAGTGTTCACACTTTTGGAAAGGGAACACCATCCAGTAGTAAAATAATGATCTAGTTATCTCACCTATAAAATGGGATACCACCAACCATCTCACAGAGATGGTTGTGAGAATTCAATTAACATATACATGTCAAGAACATAGTGAAAATGAAAAAAAAAAAAACCACATACAATAGTAACTGTAAGTGAAAGAATGAAATATTACTCCTAAAAAGGAATGACTCTAGGAGATGTAAAAATAATTTAAAGTGTACACATTCCCTAGCTCCTTTAGGTAGGTAGGTAAATTTATCCCAGCATCCACAGCTGCTCTCTACTTAAGGCAAATAGATTATTAATAAATTCTCATGAGAAACTGCACTTGTTATAAACTCATCTTTGTATCACTTCTAATTCCTAAATCCCATATATATCCGAGTCTATCTCGGTTACACATATTTATGTATTACCCATTAAATACTGAAGTTTTGTAATATAAACATGTATTCAAGAATTACTTATGGATCCAATTAAATATAATTCACCAGAATAAGTATTTTTAACATTTCCAAAGTCAAAATCCAACAAAGTAGATAGCAAGTTGGGTTTTTTGAATTTTAATTATACCAAAGGAGATGATCTTCTAAGTAAGAATTTAGAAGTAAAACAAACAACAGAAAACATTATAAGCTACTTTATTAAAATCTGTCAACTACCTAGTTGTTCCATTTCTTCTGATATGAGTTCACTTGTGCAACTTGCCAGTGTCTCCATGTCTTCATCCTGCACTCTGACTTTTCGTTCACCCCGATGTCTCCAAACACAAGACTCATCTACCTATGGAAATATTTCTTTTCATTGATGGAACTTTAGGTAAGAGTAACAAAAATCAGAAAAAAAAAAAAAAAGAAGCTGAAGAGTACCTTAAAAAGGAAACTAAACCCCATCATTAGATAGGAGGGAGGAAGGAAATTCTTTTTTCCTACAAAAAGATAACATACATAAATGTTTTCAAAATCTGTTTTCTCCATTTTATGCTTGCAAGATATCTGACACAATGGTCATATTTATTCCGTCTTTTCTCTGTCATGAAGGAAAATTTCCTCTTTACAGAATTTGGCATTACGTTATAGGAACAAGAGTTAAGAAAGAAAGATATGACTGCTTAGTCTCATCTTCTGAGTTAGTCAGACCCTGAATAATCTATTTTTAGGAAAAGGGTCATGCTATACTTTCTTATGTTATAAATTTAAACTGAAAGTACACTGTCATCAATAAAAAATGTATATGGAGATGACATGTCAAATGCTAAATTTGCCATACTATGGCAACATTTCCCTTATTTAATAATAGAATTCACACATCAAACAGTTTCTGTTCTGAGAATATTAGAATATCAAACCTGTCTCCATAATCCAATGGCAAGTCATTACCTCTTATCATGAAGCTTCCTGTTGTCAAATATTCTCCAGTTGGTGCTGTTTTAGACACCTGAGGAACACAGTACATCATATTCTTATTTTAAGAAATGTTTTTTAAACTTTCATTTGAAAAAATGAGGTCAGATTGAAGTAAACAGCACTGTGTCCTGAAAAGTTTATAATTTAGTAAAAATTCTTAACACTGGAGGAAAAGATATTTCTTCAATGATAGATATACCTTTGGCAGTAAAAAAGAAAAGAAATAATGAAGGATACACTACAGCAATCATTTCAAATGCCGTGGACTAAAGCCACACATTTCCTCTAGTGTGAGATGTAATTAGAATAATAAGGATAGTTTAATAAGCTTATCATAAAGACATAAAACTGTATTTTCTGTATTTATTAAATAAAATCTTTTTGAGATTTTTTTTGGTAATAAAATAACCTTTCAGTTTAGTAAATAAAGGTAATGGCGCATATATATATTTTTTAACTTTTTTTTTTAATTTAAGTATAGTCAGTTTACAGTTACAGTGTCTATTTCTGGTGTTATAGCACACTGCTTCAGTCATATATGAATATACATATATTCATTTTCATATTCTTTTTCACCATGAACTACTACAAGATATCGAATATAGTTCCCTGTGCTATACAGTATAAACTTGTTTATCTATTTTATATATACCAGTTAGTATCTGCAAATCTTGAACTCCCAACTTATCCCTTCCCATCCCCTTCCCAATGGCATATTTTAAAAAATATATTCTAATCTGGCAAAATAGGAAGTGAGTAATATAATTTCATAATTTAAAAAAATTACACACCTGTGAAACACCAAAATCTAAGTATCTTTACTAGTAACAGTTACGCTAGATGTTAAAAGCACACTAAAAAAATGTATTCATAAAAGAATTAAAGCTACTTTTACAATAGTACTGAGTCAGAAAATATAATCCCAGAAGCGATATTAATTTTGTAAGGACACAATATCACAGCATAACAGAAGATAAAAAATATAAACAGATACAAAATCAACTCTTTTTATCTTGCTGTATAGCTTTAGACCTTGTAAAAGTATACCACTATCAATTATAATTCTTGAAAGTGTGAAATGAATAGCAATGTGAAGTCAAATATGGAAATGAAGTGTCATCCAAAAAATAGCATTAACCACAAAGAAGGACAATTACTAAAATCAAGTGAATAAAAGAACCCACTGGATATGCCTATTTTATAGGAAGGGCCAAAGAGAATTCAGAAAAGTCCAACAAAGATGAATAGGAGAAAGACTTTTTAGGTCAGTATCCCAATCATAATTGGAACAGTCTTTATCCCAAATAACTGCATAGATCATTCTCTCTCCATTTAGTAGGTCTCTGCTCAAATCTTAACTTCCTAGAAAGGACTTCCCTGACACCATATTCAAAATGGTAGCCCCTATCACTCTCTACCTCCTTACTCTTGCTTTAAAGCAAACAAACTTTATAGCATTTTTTACTTGCCATTATATACGTATTTTTCTTCACCACCAAAATGTCAACTCCATCAAGGTGCTTTGCCTTGTTCAATTCTATACCCTCATATTTGGAACAGTCGGTCTTAATAAATTAAGAAAAAGGATCACAGCCCTTATTACCTGATGATGGTACACCCACCAAGCACTAGTGATAACTCGTGCATCCCAAGCAGCACTGTAGCAAAGTGCCATCGTGCCAGCTTCAGTCAAGGTCCGAGGGGGAATCGGTTCTCCTGTAAGAACAATACTACGATGCTTCAGTACCAAAGTACAGACTTTCTACAGCAAGATATGAAAACCACATGCAGCATGACAGGTGTAATTCTCTTATATTTTAAATAATAATGCCACATTTTACTTTCAATATTATAAACAGTTACTATTTTTATTAAAAATGTACTTACATAGCAGGCTTTTAAATGGCCTAATAAAACAAGACAGAGAAGAAATATCCTCTTGCTTATATCAGTAATTCTAACTTCATTCCAGAAAGAATAATTTAGAAAAACCTATTTAAAGTTTGAAGACTTGCCAAATATTCAAAAAGCATATTAACATATCTCTGCAATAAGAATTCAAATATTTTTAAATAGGGATATAATTCACATACCATAAAATTCACTCTTTTAAAGTGTACAATTCAGTGGGCTTTAGTTATATTCATAAAGCTGTGCAACCTTACCATTAATTCCAGAACATTTTCATTATCCCCAAAAGAAATCCTGTATCTGTTAATAGTCACTTTTCATTCTCCCAGCCACTGGCGATCACTAATCTACTTTCTGTCTCTATGGATTTGCCTATTTTAGAATTTCACATAAATGGAATTTTATGTACTTGTCGTCTTTGATTTGTTTTCAGGGTTCATCCACGTTAGAGCATGTATCAGTACTTTGTTTAAGTCTGAACAATATTCTATTAATGGATACAGCCCATTTTATTTATTAATCAATTGATGGACATATGGGTTATTTCCATTTCTTGGCTATTATAAACAATGCTGTTATGAATATCTGCAAACCAATTATCTTGGGTATATACCTAGGAGTGAAACTGCTGGGTCACATGGTAAATTCTGTTTAACTATCAAACTATTTCCCATAGCAGCTGTATAATTTTCCATTCCTACCAGTAGTGTAAAAGGGTACCAATCTCTCCACAACCTCACCAACACTTGTTATTGTCTACTTTTTCATTGTTACTATTCTTGTGAGTGTGAAGTGGTATCTCATTGTGGTTTTCATTTGCATTTCCCTAATGATGAATGATGCTGAGCATCTTATCATGTGCTTGTTAGCCATTTGTATACCTTTGGAGAAATAGCTATTTGACATTTAAAAATTTTTGTTCATTTTAAAATTGCCTTTCTATTGTTGAGTCTAAAGAGTTCTAGAATTTTTTTGATACTGGTTGTTTATCAGATAAATGATTTGTAAATATTTTCTCCCATTCTGTGGATTGTCTTTTCACTTTCTTGGTAGAGTTCTTTGAATTAAGATTTTAATTTTGATTAAGTCCAATTTATCTGTTTCTTCTATGGTTGCTTATGCTTGTGTGTCATATCTAAAAAATGACTTTCTGATCCAAGATTATTAAGATTTCACACCTTATTATTTTCTAACAGTTTTATAGTTTTAGCTCTTAAGTTTAGGTCTTTGATGTATTTGAGTTAATTTTATAAATGGTCTGAAGTAGGGGTCTAATGTCATTCTTTGGCACATGGATATTAGTTGCCCTAGCCCTATTTGTTGAAAAGATTATTCTATACCATTGAATGGTCTTGGCACCCTCACTGAAAGTCAACTGACCATAAACAAGGAATCTCAAGTCTCTTTATTGATCTGTCAGTCCATCCTTATACCAATACCACACTGTCTTGATTACTGTTGCTTTGAAGGAGGCTTTGAAACCAGGAAATGTGAGTCCTCCAATTTTGTTTTCCATTTTCAAGAATGGTTTGGCTAATCTGGGTCCTCTGCATTTCCACATGAATTTTAGTATCAGCTTTGTCCATCTCTGCAAAAAAAAGGCAGCTGGAATTTTGAGAGGGATTGCATCAAATCTGTAGATTAATGTGGGAAATACTGCCATCAGAACAGTATTAAGACTTCCAATTCATAAACACTGGATGTCTTCCTATTTATTTAGGTCTTCTTTAATTTCTTCCAATGGTGTTTTGTAGTTTGGTGTGTATGTCTTGCATTTCTTCATGGTAAAGTTTTTACTAAGTATTTTATTCTTTTGTAATGCTATTATAAGTAGATATTTTATAAATTTCCTTATAGTATTATTCATTTAGTAATATAGTGTATAAAATGTACTGACTTTTAATATACTGACTATATATCCTGGACAATGATGAACTTTTTTATTAACTAATAGTTTTTGGTGGATTTCTTAAGGTTTTTAATATATAAGATCATGTCATTTGTAAACAGAGATAGTTTTATTTATTCCTTACCAATTTTGATATTTTTAACTTCTTTTTATTGCCTAATGGCCTACTTAGACTCTCCATACAATGTTGAATAGAAGTGAGAAGAACAAATGCACTTATCTTGTTCCTGATCTTAGGGGGAAAGCTTTCAGTTTTTCACCATTAAGCACAATTTTTAGCTTTCATAGATGTTCTTCACCAAGATGAGTAAGTTTCCATCTCTTCTTAGTCTGTTAAGTGTTTTTTTTTTTATCACAAATGTGTACTGGATTACTGCTGAAGGCCTTTTCTACGTCAATTAAGATCATCATTTTTTTTTTATTCTACTAATATACTGTATTATATTAATTTTCATATTTTAAGCCAACCTTGCACTCCTAGGAATAAATCCCACTTTGTCATGTATATAATCCTTGTAATATGTTGCTGGATTGTTTCCTAATATTTTGTTGAGGATTTTTGTGTCTATATTCATAAATGATATTGGTCTGTAGCTTTGTTTCCTTGTAATGTCTTTGTCTGGTTTTGTTATTAGGGTAACACTGACCTTACAGAATGAGTTATAAAGTGTTGCTGTCTCTTCTATTTTTATAAGAGTTTTTGCAAGATTGATACTCAGTCGTCTGTAAAAGTTTTGTAGGTTGGTCTAGCTAAAGCTTTATCAATTTTATCAATCTTTTCAAAGAACTACCTTTGGTTTTGTTGTTTTTCTCTACTGTCTTTCTATTCTCTATTTTGTTTATTTCCATTCTGATCTTTACTGTTTCCTTCCTTTCCTTATTATAGGTTATTTGCTTTTCTTTTCCTAAATCTTAATGTGTACAGTTTGTTATTGATTTGAGATCATCCCTCTTTTCTATTACAGATAGTATAGCTATAAACTTCTCTCTGAGCACTACTTTAGCTGCATCTCATAAGTTTTGATAAATTTTGTTTTCATTTTATTCATCTCAAAGTATTTTCTAAAATGCCCTGTGCTTCCTCTTTGATGCTCTGGTTATTTATGTACTATTTATTTCCACACATTTGTGAATTTTCTGAATTTTCTTCTATTAAGTGATTTCTAATTTCACTTCATTGTGGTCAAAAACCTACTTTGTACAATTTCAATAGTTTTAAATTAACTGTGACTTATTTTATGGATTATCATACATGTTCCATGTGTACTTGAGAAGAATGAGTAATCTAGTGTTGTGGGGTGTACTAGACATATATGTTAGATCTAGGTACCTCAGAGTGTTGTTCAAGTCTTTTATTTCCTTGTTGATTTTACATCTAGGTTATTCTATCCATGACTGAAAGTTAGGTATTGATGTCCTAAACTGTTATTATTAACTTATTTCTCCCTTCAATTCTGTCAGACTTTTACTTCATGTATTCTAGGGCTCTGTTTTTGGGTGCACATGTGTTTATATTTGTTACATCTTATTGATGGATTGACACTTTTATCATTATAAAGTGTCCTTTATCTATATTTAATGATTTTTCTCTTTTACTAAAAATATTTTAAAGAAAAAAAGAAAGCTCTGAATAATAGAAAGAAATATATTACCTGTTGGATTCTTAATTACACAGCTAGTTGCTCCATGAAGGTCAGCATGTACATAAATGTCCCCTTTAGAACAAAAAAGAAATAATACTTTAAGCCCTGCTTCTTTAAGTTGAAAATTTTAATTTATTTATTGTTTAACAGGTTCAAAATCTAAAAGGGATAGAAGACATATAAAGAAAAGTCCATTTCCCACTCCTGGGAGACCTCTCATAGGCCTCCTTAGAGGAAAGCAATGCTAAATATGGCAGATTACAAAAATGGTCACAGTTCTCCCTCCCTCTATCCACACCTCTTTGTTTTATGACTATGAAGCTTCTCCCATCAAGATGTGGAGTCCACTTCCCTGTCCTTCAAATCTGGGCCTGTCCCATGACTTGCCTTGGCCAGTAGAATATGGCAGATGTGACGAAATCCCAGCTTCAAGCCTAGGCCTCGAGAGGCCTTGTATGCTTCCTCTCTTTCTCTAAGAAATTTCCTGAGTTACAAGCAAGCCCAGGCTAGCCTGCTAATGGGTAAGAGACACATGGAGATGAATGACCCTAGCAACTGCAAAGGTCCTAAGGACCACAGATGGTAGACATATGTGACAATCAGGAGGCCAGACTGAGGGGAAGTAAGAAATGAGTCTAGAGGAGAAGTCAAGGAACTTGTAAGCCACAATGAGGACTCCTAGTTTTATTCTGAAGTGTGTAATAGCAACAAATGAATAAATGAGCAAACAGATGAATGCAGGAATGAATGGTCAACCAGGGAAATGTAAAGTGCATGGTTCCTAAAAGGAAAAATGAGCAGCCATTGCTTGCCATGAACAGTTCATCTGGGATTTGAAACTCAACAAAGAGCAAAGCTCTTACAGTTCCATGAAAGGCTCAGCTCACAATGAACAGAGCTAGAGAAGACAGAGACCAAGCCCTAGGTCCCATGTAACCTGATCCCTGTTGCCTTCTTTCCTTTGTTTGTTTGGGTTTTTTCTTCTTTTTTTTTTGGTTAAGTTTTTTCGGGTTTTCTGTTTGTTTTTTTTTATCGAGGTACTGGGGATTGAATCCAGGACCTCATGCGTGTGAAGCACGTGCTCTAGCACTGAACTATGTCTGCCCCCATCCCCTCTGTTGCTTTCTTTCCTGGTTCTGGGTCCTCAGTGGACATCAGATTAGCTTTGATACTGATTACCGATTTCTGATACCCACACTGAAGGTTCAGCCACAGTGAAGTGGTGGTTATCAGCAAACAAAAACAAATGAGAGGCCTTACAACACAGGGTTTACGTACTATTTCTAAAAGCGGAAAAAGGTTACAAACTTTAACATTGAAAAATTAACCTTTAAAAAATTTGTTCTACAATGACTTTGAAGGTTTGAAAGCTATTTTGTTAATGTAGTAGAAAATTAAAAGTCTAATACTGCAGATTAGCTCAGTATTACTACTTTAGGAATATTCACTTAAAATGAGAATTAAGTGTCAAAGCACATATTCAACAAACGTTTCATAAACCGTCAAACTCTACCAATTAAGTCTATCAAATGAGTACAAGACAACAATCTCCACCTAATATTGAGATAACTGATCCTATTACTTAAGAAAAATTCTTTAGAATTTTAATCTTTTACCTACCTGGTGTCAAGTATCTTTTCACAATTATTTCATTTTGTTGCTGATCTCGTCCACCAATAATTAGATAGTTCTCTGAGCTAATGAACCAGAGAAATTTCTCAAACCTACCAGATTGAAAGAAAAAAAAAGTTAACGTTTCTTTCCCTTCATAGTTGCCTGAATTCATACCCTTTTAACAAACAAAATAAAACAGGAAGCTGTCCTACCTGTGTACATTAAGACAATTTGATGGCTTAGTTTCTTTTTTTAAGACATCAAGCTGAATTTTATTGAAAACTTGTAATACAAATTGCCCTAGAATATTCTTAAAACAGTCTTAGTAGAAAGCAATTAAATCTTGTGTTTAAAAAAAAAAAGTTCTTGGGGGAAGCACATAGCTCAAGTGGTTGAGCGCATGCTCAGCAACCAAGAGGTCCCCAGTTCAATCCCTGGTACCTCCTCCAAGTGGAAATTAATGAAGAAACTTAATTACCTCCCCCTCAGAAAAAAAAATTCTCTCTTTATCTACCCCTCATATAGACAGCCTTCTTAGACTAAAAGATAAAACAATGAACTACAAAAAGCAAAAGCATAAAGTGTCACAAGTTCCCTAGGCTTAGCTTTCTTTCAGTGCAGCACTGGACAGGCTTTGAGATTGCTGGTAAGAAAGAAAAGTTGTTTGGCCAATCTATCCTTGATGAATCAACTGAATGTTTACATATATGGTATTCTTTACACATTAAAAAAAATACTAAACACCAAAAATTGCTGTCAGAAGTGTAAATTATAATTTTTCTCAAGAAACAAATTAAATTTGGGTTTTCATGATTCATATATACCATGATAAAAAGTAAAGAATGTATATCTGTATGACACTTAGAAAATTACATGCAATAGAGATGAACATAAATATTTTCTATGTTACCTATGACTAGCAAGATAATTTTTTATAATTTAATCTATGTTTTAAAAACTTCTGGTTAAAAATGATAGATTGAGCACAGGCATTAAACTAAACTCCCTCATATTCCTCAGTATGTAACAGTAAAAGGATTTTACTCCTATTTTCTAGTCTGATTTTTTTAATTGAATAATACATACATGTGGTTCAAATAAATTTTTAATTATATAAAAAAAGTACAGTGAGATTCTACATCTCTTTAGTTCTCACCGCTATTACCAAACAGGAGGCCATTAGCTCCCTGTGTAACCCTGTTCAGAGTTTCTTTAAACATACAAAAGCTAAAATAAACTGCTTATTCCAAATCCTTTCTCTTTTTTAGACACAGCACGCATTATTCTGTGTATTTTTTCCTTTTTTACTTAAAAATTCATTTTCCTCATTGCTGAATGATGTACTAATTTAACCACTTCCCTATTGACAGTAAAGAGGTTTGTAGAAAGACATAAACCCACAAAGAAAAAGAGAGTGAGAAAGATAAATCAAGGATGTATTTTGTAGTTATGCATTCCTTTGCTAGGACAACTAGCAGGCCATTTTAAAAAAAAGCCAACCAATCAGAAGAAAGCAGTAAGGAAGACAAAAAAGAATAGAGAACAAATGAGACATATAGAAAGCAAACAGTAAGATGGGTATATTTAAACTCAAATATATCAGCAATTACATTAAATGTATATGTAGTCAATTCCCCAGATAAAATGCAAAGACTGTCAGACTAGAAAGCAATAATGATATATACTCCTTTAAAATATAAAGATATAAAAACTTTGAAATATAATGATGGGAAAAGATATACCATGCAAACATTGACCAAAAAGAAGTTTATACAGTTTTAACATCTCACACAGATTGGAAAATAACAGATGTAAGTAAAAAGGACATTTCACTAAAGTTAATAAAAGGCTCAATTCACCAGTAAGTTATAACAGTGCTATATTTGTATCACCTAATTACATACCTCATTTATATAAAGTAAAAATGCAGAAGTAAAAGGAGAAACAGACAATCTGTAAGTGTGTGATATTTAACACATCTCTCTCAGTAACTTGGTAAACAATCATTAAAAAGACAATTAGTAAAGATGCCAAAGATTTGAACAACATGATTAATAAACAGGACCTGATATTTAGAGAAATGCACTCAATAACTGTAGAAAAGACATTTTTTTCAACAATACATGAAACATTTATAAATAAAACTGTCCATAAATAGACTAGGCCATAAAACAAGTTTCAACAACAAACACCAAATGACTAAGATAATTTAGAATACCAGCTCTGACTATTATGCAAATTAAGCTAAAAATAAGTAACAAAAAATAAATAAAAACCCTAATGTGTTCGGAAAGCAATACATATACTTCTAAATAATGCAGAGGTGAAGAAATCACAATGAAAATTAGAATATATCTTCACGTGAAAAATACTAAAAATACTAAATAACAAAACCTTTTAGATGTAGTAAAAGCCATGCTGAGGGAGATTTATTGCCTTAAATACATTAGAAAAAAGGCTGGGAGGAAACAATCAGTGAATTAAATTTCCATCTCAGGAAATCAGGAAATGCAAATAAGCTCCAAAGAAAAGTAGAAGGATGAAAATAATTACTAAAATAGAGAACACATATATAATAGAGATCAACAGCCAAAAACTGGTTCTTTAACAATATTAATATGCCTAAAAATCTTCTGGTTAGACTAATCAAGAAAGAGCAGGCACAAATAACTCTTGAATGAAAAGGGAGAAGTCATTAAAGATTTCAGATGTTAAAAAGTTAACTGGAATATTTTATAAACTTTTTGGTAATAAATTTCAAACTTTGGACAAAACAGACAAAGTCTTAGGAAAACACTGCTAGCCAAAACAAGAAAATCTGAGTCCTTTTATCTACTTAAGAATTTGAATCTGTAATGTAAAAGTTTCCCATGAAGAAAGCTCCAAGACTACGGAGCTTCACGGGTAACTTCCATCAACATTTAAGGACAAATGATAAAGGAACACTTCCCAATTTGTTTTTATGAGATAATATATATAACCTTGTACCAACAGCTAACAAAAACATTAAAAGAAATGAAAATTATAGGTCAATCAATATTCATCAATAGAGATGTTAGAGACAGAGAAAAAAAAGAAAAACAGAACAAAATTTTGAAAAGCTAGAAAATAAATGGACAAGTGAGCAGACTTTCAAGAAGCTGAATCCTGAGTTGATGGTGCAAAAAGCCAAGAAACAAATCAATTTACATTGTATAATCCATAAAAAGAACAAGGTACTACTAGAAACAGGGTTTAAGATGGGGTTAAAAAGAAGAGTGGCTAAAAATCTGATCAAGAAGTAGTAGCTTCCCTAAATCTTTCCAGTTCCGAACATGGTGGTAACTGCCCCATCCACACCCTAACAGAGCCAGAAGTTAATTCTCTGAAAAGGGTACAAAGAGGATCTTTGGACTAGGAGAAATGTATCCCAGTTTTAAGTAGGGGTAATATATGTAAAATAGGGCAGTTAAGTAAATGAATGAAATACTGGATACTAAGACTCTCCAGTTTATTATTTCCACTGGGCTTCCAAATGGTGACAGCCTGGTTTCACTTTACAAGCAGGAGAGAAAAAGAACCTTTTTGGGAAATGAGATCAGCCAAAGAGGAATGAAATAAGACAATTACTAACTTCAGGGAAGATAAAACGCTGAGCAGGGAAGGAAAAGAAAACAGAGTACTGTATGATACAGCTGTGACTACAATTTAAATATTCATAATAATGTTAATGCAAATATCAGTCTTGACAAAATTATGCTCTAAATACTGGGAAGCTAGGTGATGTGTGTGTATGTAATGAAGTACAAATAGAAAGAATAAAATCCTCATCATTCCATAGTGGAAAGTCACGAAGCAGTAATATATTACTAACAGAATTGGAGGTACATACCAAAAGAATCAGCTGAAAGAGCTAAAAGTTTTCTTGAGAGAGAAGGCAATAGGAGTAGGCATTAAAAAATTGCAGGGCTACTGGTTTTTGTAATAAGCTTTGTAAAACTGCTTGATTTTCTAAACAATGTGCATGTATAATTTTGATAAAAACAAAAACTGTTTTAAGAAGTCAGAACACTTACCAATATACTTTTCTTGCTTTTTGAATAGAAGTAACTGTTTGGACTTCTTTTAAGGTCTGCTTTGTTTTCTTTTCTGCTGATTTGAATGCCTACTTATAAGAAAAGAGTTTTTAAATAATTTGTTGAAAATTTATTTAAATAACACCGATTAAATAACAGAGCAAGAAATAGTTTTTTAACTGTCACAAAATGGCACTATCTATATACACACACTTATCTATACACACATGAAAGTAATGAAATGACAGAATTTTGCCTTAAATACTAAAATAATGTAAGTCAAAGGTTTACTGTATACAAATATTTGCTCAAGACCTACAAATAAAAAAGAGCATCATCTGTTTATCAGATACCGCGTGCAACCATGTAATAAGTTCTAGTGTACATGCCAGAGACACAACAGTGAACAAGACAAAGTCCCTACACCAACCCCACTGGAGTCTGGGAGAAGAGACATGTATAAAACACAGAATTATTCAAATAAACATGGTAAGTGCTTCAGAGGATGCTATGGGAGTATGACAAGGGAACCTAACGTATAACTGATTGTGGTTAAAGAAGGTATTTCTGAGGAAGTGTCATTTAGACTGAAGCCTGAAGGATTAAGGGAATTATCAAGGCAAAGAATAGGAAGAAGAGCACGGTAAGCAGAAAGAAAAGGCCAGCTTGACCAGCAAGTAAATTCACAGGGTAAAGTGTCAAGAAATGAGGTTGGAGAAGTAGACAGAGAGCTAAGTCATGAAGGCCTCTCACTTAACAGATAGTAGTGACTACATTCCAGGCAATATTCTAGGGATTGGGATATAGCAATGAACAAAACAGATAAAGATCCTACTTTCATGCAATCTGCATTCTAGAGGGAAGACAGACAGACCTATGTTGGGACAGGTGTTCTTAAAAAAGAAAAACAAAGCAAAGAGGGAGTGATTAAGGGTAGTACTATTTTTACTAAGAGTAGTCCAGAAAGGCTTCTCTGATAAAGTCTCATTTAGACATGTGAATGAAGAGAGGATCAAACCATGAAAATTTTGAGAGAAGCAACACTGTTGGCAGAAAGAGCAGCAAGTGCAAAAGCCCTGAGAAAGCAGTATGGGTCACTGTTGCAAGAACAGCTAAGACCCCAGTATAGCTGGAATGAGTGTGTAACAAGAGGTGTGTAGGTGGGGGACGGGTATAGCTCAAGTGGTAGAGTGCATGCTCAGCACACAAGAGGTCCTGGGTTCAATCTCCAGTACCTCCTCCAAGCAAAAATACATGAATAAACCTAATTACCTCCCCCTCATAACAAACAATACAAGTAAGAGATGTGTAGGTGATGAGATCAGAAGGAAACAGATTGTGTAGAATCTTATAGGCCAGGAGAACCTAAAATGTCTTGAGTAAGATGAGAAGAAACTGAAAGATTTTCAACAGAGGAAAATGACTTCATTTTTACTTAAAAGGATCACTATGGCTGCTGTGTGAAGAACAGACTGTAGCAGGAAAGTGTAGAAAGAGTGAGACCTAGTAAGAAGCTACTATTACAGTCCACGTGAACACAGATGATAGGGCCTAGACTAATGAGAAGTGGCCAGATTCTGGTTTTGCTCTACAGGAAGAGCCAAAAGGATCTGCTGATTGATTGGATATGGTTTATAAGAGTCCAGGATGACTCCAACATTTTTAATGTGAGCAAAGGGAAAACTACCGAGATAGAGAAACCTGGGGAGGAGTGGCTTAGGGAAGAAAATAGATACTGGCAAAACATTTAAAGCAAAATTAAGTCTGAAAGGTATTTCCGAATTTGAAAACCTCATTTAAATAGAAGAAATAATTAAGTCCATTAAGTGAATAAAGCAAAGACAATTAACATTCACTCTAAGAAATATTACGTACCTTCTCAGCAGCTTCAACAGTCTTCTGTGTTTTCTTAGCAGCATATCTCTTGTGATCATAATACCTAGAAAAATATGTATCTCTTAATTTTTGATAAAATCTTTTATTCTTTAGTTTCCTATTTATGTTATTTCTAATTGTACAGACTCTCAAGTCATCAAGAACAAGTTTTGAGCATTTATGCCATTTTTTTTGTATGTTCTGTAGGAAAAAGTATAATACACAAACAAGATTTTAAAAAGTATTTTCACCCCAAAGTATATACAGTTAAAATAATGATTTTTCTTATTCTTAACTGATTTATTGCAGATAACATTTTACCTAAAATTTATACTTAAATTTACGGCTTACTTTTTGGCATTGGCATATGCTGACAAGCTGAGATCAACATCAACAAGCAATGGCCTATTTTTCTGAGGCTTCTGCAGTTGTTTATTCTTTTGCTTTTTCTTTTTTCCTTTTGGTGGTTCAGTTTCATTTTTCTCAGTATTGATGTCACCATCAGCATCATCATCTTCCTCCTCTGACAACAAGTATGGATTTCTATTAAAAATATTCAATAGTATTTCACTAATGTCAATGACATCACATTTTTATTTTCAATTTTTTTCTCAATGAAATTATAAATGTACTTAAATTTATTGAAATTATAAACAGTTACTTAAATAGCTGCATTATTTTAATGTAAATTTAATTTTTTCTGTATTTTTGAAGATAAATTTCCAAACAGAAGAAAAAAATTTTTAATAAATATAGTGAACAATTAAATAGCAAAATAAAGACAAGCATTAACTGCTTAACTAAGAATCCAACTTACCTTAGCAGCATCGTAACATGATTTGTTTGTAGTTTTAATTCTTTGATTGCATTTGCAACAGGGTCACCTTGAGCTTGGGCTTCTTTCACAATTAATCCGATTTCTGTCCAATCTATCTGGTTGGCTAAAGCACTTCGAACAACCTGAATGGCTCTGTCAACTATCTGTAGGTTCATTTCTATAAGCTCTCCTTTAAGTTTGTCTATTTCCTTAAGAAATAAACCAAAAGCACTTATTACAATGTCAGTTCAAGTTACCATTTTTGAAAAAGTATCTGAAAAGGCTAAAACAATACCTGAGCCTGCTGAAGAGCTTCTAATCTGTTTTCATGATCCTTTCGGACATTATCTAATTTCTTCAATGCTTGTTTTTCCTTTTGTTGGCAAAACAAATTTTTTAAAAATTAGATTTCTTCTAATTAGGTGCTATACCTTCTCTTTCTTACCTCCTTAAACTCACTATCCCACCCCAATTTCTGCCTCCTCAATGTTGTTTCCTAGCTAGCTAAAGTTCTCCGTAGTCTGCCTACCAGGTTTAACCCCAGAGTGCTTCATGCTTCAAAATTACTTCTTCTGACCACTTACCTCCCATTCTCTATATAGGAAAGTATTTTAATTACAAGTTACATTATTCAAGCTTGCAGAATTCAAGACATTTTCCCTTATGACATAAAAGTAAAGTTTGGAGGAATGAATTCTTAGCATTAATTATTAAAATAGCTTTTTATTTTATTGCTGCTTTTAATTTTCTCAGCATTATTTCTAGTATTTTACAGAACACTCTTTTTCCTAAATTAACAACACATAGGCTCGTGGTAGTTATGTGGTCATTTACATAGTCAGTCCTCCGTATCTGCAGATGCAAAACCTGCAGATATGGGAGGCCAACCATATTCATTGTACTACACCATTTTATATAAGGGGCTTGAGCCTCCTCAGATTTTGGTACCTGCAGGGGCTCCTGGAACAATCCACTGGGGATACCAGGGATGACTGTATATAGCATGTTATCTTATGGAACTTACATTTTAAGATTATTGATCTAGAGGAAAAAAATTTTTTAACACCTTGGTAACAGTATTACCAATTAGTTTTTGAGTGCTTGATGTAATGTTTAAAATATTTAAGAGAGGAGGGTATATAGCTCAAGTGGTAGAGCACATGCTTAGCATGCAGGAAGCCCTGGGTTCAATCCCCAGTACCTCCAGTAAAATATTTAAATTATAAGAATGGTGACTATTAAAAGAACACACAATGATTACTAAAATAATTCATGGGTATTCCGATGCACATAAAAAACATGGGGTTCACTTACTTTTAGGGGGAGGGTATAGCTCAAGTGGTAGAGTGCGTGCTTAACATGCATGAGGTCCTAGGTTCAAACCCCAGTACCTCCATTAGAGGAAAAAATAAACAAACAAACAAATAAACCACATCCCCCCGTAAAAAAAAAAAAAAACCTAAAAAAAAAAAGTTACTCAAACATCTGTTTACTTGTGAAGGTGCTGCCACCATGTGGCAATCCCACTATATAACTCATTTGACCCATGTGCTTTGAAATTCTGCTACTGTTAATTTTTTAAAACTAGTGGGAGAGGGAAGTTTACAAGGATTCACACAATTTCAAGTTTTTACACACGTATTTTAAGATTTTATGAATATATCGGAAAAATCAAATCCTCTTCAAATCAGGAGTGACTATGGACAATTTCTAAAAGTATTCTGCGGCAAAAGCTTTAATCAAAGTGCTGTCAAAACATAGCCTATTAAACCCTCCTTGTAGAGTCATGACACATGGAAAGCATATTAAAGGACTAGTAAACTAAGTCCAATTTTAAGAAGAAAACAGTTTAATGATAAACAGATATGTACTTGTTTGTACAGAAAAAACTTTCCCCTCTCCTTTGGCCTATTTAAAAAACTCCTTGCAACACTATTCCCTTTACAGGAAAGTTTGAGAAAGCTTTGGGTTGTTGTAATAAAATAAATCATTCAAGGGAATAACTAACAGGCCTCACCCTCCCACTGTATTTTCTGGTTTAGAGACCATGTAATACTCTGATGGAGCAAATGAGGGTATACTTTTTAACACTAATAGGATATTTATCAGTATACTACGAGATCAGGGCATTCTTACACTGCTTCTAAAAGGCTGCGCATTCCTGTATGAGACCATCGTCTACTCAGCAAACCACACTTAAGGCTAGTTGGTTTAATATACATGTTTTTAGTAATATCATACCTGTTGTAAAGCTTTTAAGTCTATTTTCTGACCTTCTATTTTGGAATAAAATTCATCCACGGCCTTTTTAAAAAAAGAAAAAGACAATCAACTAGCTGACAAAGAAAGCAAAAACATGGTCTCCATTTCAACTTGCATACACAGAATTTTAGAGTCCATTTTGTTTTATAACACCACTCAAAGAAATTGAGCAGGTTTCCAGTAAATGTTTATATAACTAAACAGTCAAGAATCAAATTAAATCTTTGGTCTGTCATCTTGAAATAAAGTGGGAACAAACATTTCCAACAGTTTGTACTTGTGACTGCATTGATTTTTAATGCCCAGATTAAATGTCCAATGATTGTAAAGCAAAAATATTTTCAATTTCTCAATGAAAGCAAGTTGATATAAATTTAACAACTCATATCATGCTAACCGGTCAAATACAGAATCAGAAAACCCACCTTGTCAAATGATTCAAATTCTATATATGGACATTGTGAATGTTGAGAAAACAAGAAAGGATGAAATTCCTCATACCTGTAAAACATATTTATTATATCACATTCAAGAACATTAATAAACACCCAAAGCAAACTGACTCATGCCTACATACTTACGTGAGTATGTCTTCAGTTGGTTTATCTATTTCCAGGCTTGGTTTTATTTCTCTTTTCTGAATAATATAACCCTACAAAAATCCAACATTAAAACTAGTTTCTGTTCATAATTAATAATTTACTTTCCTTGACTGATATTAATTATTAATTTAACTTATAAAATTATTCAGTTATAAATAATTAGCAGCATTTGTCTATTGATTATATCATGGCTCAAAACAATGTTTTTAAGGCTCAATACTGATTTATTCATATGGACAAGAAAAAACAGAGGATAAAGAAAACGAAAACTAATGATCTGAGAAAGTGGTAGGATTATACATGTGCATTTTGCTCTTTTCTTTCCATTTTCAGATGTTCTGCAATTTTAAAAAGCCAAAAGCACTTCCAGCAGAAAAAGTCTTAGGTTCACTTTGCTGGTAGGAAATTTTAATTCACTTTAATAACTGGGCAGGTATATTTGAATTGAATTTAGCTATAATTAGAACTTTCTCTGAATTTTTTTGGTAAGCAAAGTTATACCTTGAATAGGGAAGAAAAATCAGGTATGAGGTAAGTCAGAGGATGTTTAATAATTAGAAAGATGCAAATCAGCAAACTTTTGGAAAGTGCTAGCAAATTAAAATCTGCTTCTCTATCTAAAATCAACCTAAGAAGAAATATCTTCAAATTCTTCAACTTTTCTGGAGTACCAATAATGACTTGTACTTTCTAGAAAATTTAAGGAATACAACAAAAATAACAAAGCGACAGCAATTTTTTAAAACTGCCTTAGAATAAGCATATTACAGGTGTTACACTTCCAAATTACAATAAAAAACTTACATATACTGATTCTTCAATGAACATTTAAATTCTAAAAATCCAGATATAATAAATATATGTGGTGCTACCTTTCCACTGAAGTTGGATGTTGTTTTCATATAGTCTTCTGCTTTCTGTAGACAAATAAGTACTTTTTCAATATCTAAGAGGGGAATAAAGGAAAAAAGTAGTGCCAATCAACTGTCAATTAACTATCATTAAACATCTATGTAGAAAACAAAGTGCTTATGAAATAATAAGAGTGTTCAAGAAAATTAAATATAGTTATTTCATGTTTGTAAGCAGTTTATGTAAGTAAGGGTCTGTTTTGGCCAGCCTGTAGTCCCAACAGCTTTTATTGAATCCATCTTTCCCTTCATGATCTGAAAAGCATTTGGTTCATGTACTAAATTCCGATACATATATTTGGGCTTATTTCTGAATTCTTTATTCTGTGTATTCCTTCTCCTAAAATTTAACTTTTAATTTTTATAGCTTCATAATACATTTTAATCTATGAAAAGATCATTCTCCATCATTACTATTATTTCCCAGAGTTTTCCTGAATATTTTTGCATGCTTTTTATCACACATGAATATCAAATTCATTTAATAAAAGTGCAGTAGCAAGAATAACAATACCAACCTGTTGGCAATTTTGAACAGCACTGTACTGGATTCATGTATTTCAGAAATTAAATCATTCACTTCAAACATTCAATTTGTATTTTTAAAGGCACAAAAATGTTTACAGCATAAAAATTATCCCTAAGCCTTAAGAAATTATATATAATCCCAAAATATAAACATCAAGAATGATTTTTTATTTTACATAAGAATCTGCAGATAAAAATTTGTCAAAGACTAAATCTTCCATTTTCCTTATATTTCCTCTAATTTTTATTATCCTAATCTAGAAGTTAAACTAGGTTCCCTTAAGTAGTTACAAAGCCTAATTCATCATATAGCCACACTATAGCAATTACAGAATTAAAATGCACAAATAATGCTATTTCTAGAAACATCCTCAGGTTCTGAGTCAGACGGTAAATAATTCAACTCCTGCAAGCCTTGTCCAGAGACTGTCTCAAGTTCAGTAACCCCTTCAGAAATTTAGTGGCAGGGAGGGAGGATATTCTAAAATCAAAAGGCAATAAGGTAGGTCAAGAGATTAAATTGCATGTTAACTAGGGGTAAAGCATCACAATAGAGTAGGAAGCCAGGAACACCATATGGATAGAACACTCATAGGTCAAATGTTTTTAAGTCTAGAACTACCTGCTCATTTATCACTTTTCATGGAAATAATTGTCATAGGTTTAAAAAAAGGAAATAAATGAAAATGGACAAAACTTGTGGTATGCAGACGTACCTTTACTTTCAAATTTTTCATCCACTTTGACATTGCCAGAGAATCCATTTTCTATTAAACAGTGTTCTATGACAGCTGGTCCATAGGCTATAAAAGCAGAAGATATTTTTAGTATTTTTCCTATAAAATTTCATATTCAAAACAGAATACAAATGTATATCCAAATATACATGATCTAGGGGGGAGTGTATAGCTCAGTGGTAGAGTGTATGCCTAGCATGCACGAGGTCCTGGGTTCAATCCCCAGTACCTCCATAAAAAAAAAAGTAAATAAATAAACCTAATTACCTCCCCCCACAAAAAAAAGAAAGAACGAAAATAATCTACTCAATAACAGTAACCAGTGAAAATAACAATTAGTTTTCTTAGTTTGAAATGGTACTAAAAATGACAATTCAAGTACTTATACAAATTTGAGACTATAATGAAATTATAGAAGTCAGTGTAAAAGTTATAGGAATTTAAATAGAATTTAGCCACATTTAGAATTATAAACCAGGAAAGCAAGGTTGGTTTAGCATCCAAAAGTTGGTTATTGTAATATACCATATTAACAAAATAAAGAAATAGAAAAATCCAAATTTACAAATTTGACACATGCTATACTAACAGACGGAAAATTTTAAAGATAACTTTTTGACGCATTCTAACTTCATAGGAGAGGAAGAGTAACTCCCTTTGTAATCAATGGTACCTGCCTTCCTATATGTCCTCCCCAGATTCCTTAGTATAGGGATAAGTGGTGATTTTCTCAAGTATAAAAGTTTATTGGGTTATCTTTAGCCTGGTTAATAAAAGTACCTGGCAGATCTTGGGATACCCGGAGACTCAACAATAAAAAACAAACAAACAAACAAAAAACAGAGAAAACCCAACCAAACTAAATGAGTTATTAAACCAAAATGATTCACAATGGAAACAAAAAAACCCAATTTCTTACAAAACCACAGCTAGAACTCAAGTGCTAGACAACATACTATTAGTTTACATAACTGTATTGCTTTTAAATAAGATCAAACAGATACAGGTCAAAGTTTAAGTGGTATAACAAATTTCTTTCCTTGAAAATAAATCCCAATTTACTCAAAAGATCATTTTAAACTCCTTTCTACATTTATCAAGTTGTTTTCTAATTTTCTACTAGGAATAGATTTAAATTTCTACTAGAACTAGATTTAAATGTTTTAAATATATTTCTGAAAACCATACTATCTTACAAACGTTACATTGCTCTACGTAGGATTACTTACGAAGCAATGGGTTAAGAACTCTCTTCAATAGTTCACCTTTAGGTGCACTGCTTATTATTTCAGTCAATCTGTGAAACAAAATTGACATACCTCTTAGTATCTTACATTTAATAAACCTTAGAGCAATATTCATATTCACAATACTTCCATATGTATCAATCCCCCTGACCTTCAAAATACTCTAAAATACAAGAGGAATCAGTTGATCTTATATGTTAAAAAAAAATAGGTCATAAAAATAATTTATCTAAGGTTAGTAGGCTCCTTAACAGCATCTGGGACTTCAAACCAAGTTTTCCAAGCAAAATCAATACTTTTTCAACTAAGTTATACTGCTTATCATCAGTGTGCTCACATATGACATGAAAGAGGCATTTTTATGCAACAGTTAAATGTTGTTTGTGGAGATGGGTGATATATCTTAACATCTGAAATAGCTTTATGTAATTTAGCATTTAATAAGAACTCAAAGATACTGTGGTACCCAATTCAGCATCAATATCACCTGGAAACTTATTAGAAATGCAAATTCCCAGGCCCTGTACCATCAGAAATGGTGTTGGGGGTAGGGGGAGGCAGGAATCCTATTTCACCAAGCCCGCTAGGTGATTCCGATGCATGCTAAACTGAGAACCACTGCTGTAGCCTATTGGTCAGCAAAGGCTCCAACCAGAAGAGTACAGCTACAGTCAGCACCTTTCCCACCATACTCCTGTTTTTTAGCTAAACCAGAATTCTTACCTCCTTTTGCACTCTGCCCTAGATACCCATTTGTCTTCTCACAGAATAGCAAAAAAATCCCCTCACCTTACCAAAAAAATCATAAACATCTGAAGTAGCATCACACTTAAGATTAAAAAAACATATTTACTCCTCCCAAATAAGGCTTAATTGCTTACAGTTAACTGCCTATTTATGTAGTTCAAGCAACCTAAATTTAGTTATCTTATGCAAGTAAACAAAATATTTCTTATGTGGCAGTTCTTTCATATTCTGACATATGATCTATTTCACTATGTACTATAATATGCAATGAGTTAATAAGCAAAACATGTTACCTTTCCAAGGTAAGCAAAGGTTCGGCAGCTCTAGCGTGATCAATTGGATAGCGTTCACGAACGGCAAATTTAACATCATCTGACTCATCAGTTCGAAATCTTAGGATATTTAAAATTAGGTATTCATAATCTGTAAGGACAATGTTCCCCTGTAATAAAATAAAACATAATTTAATGCTTTTCCCAAATCATTCTTAAAACATTTTTAAAAATTGAGAAAGAAAATGCAGCCTCTTAAAAACTCATTCAAGACTGAAAAATGAAGTTACAAACAAAAAGCATTTGAGTCTCATCTAAACAGTGCTCCTTGCACTTTTCCAACACAGATTATGAAATAAGATAAATAAATCTAAACATCCCAAGTGTGAAACATAATGGAGGAATCTAAAGCAACCTTAAACTCATTGATGGTTCTGCAGAGGTCACTATTAGAAGCAGAATAATCAATCAACACTTTGATAACTACCAGCTGAATTTACTGTTGGTTGAGCCAGGTCTACAAACACTATGGCTTATTAATGAAAAAAAGAACAAATATATTCCAGAAGCCAAACAAAGAGCTATTGATACTTTTGCCTGCAATTAGTTATGTGGCAAAATCAATAAAGATATTTACTCCCTTTGCCCAAGTAATTCCACATTTGGTACTGTGACCTAAAGTAGTAACTCAGTAAAACCAAAGCTACATGCTTAAACTGCAGTTTATTTACAACAGAAAACAACTGGAAACAGCCTATATGTAAAAACTGGGAAAGCTGTAAAATACATTATATCAATATGACAAAATATTAAAAAGCTGTTAAGAAGCTATATAAAAAAAAGTAGGAAAATGTTTATAATGTTAAGTGAAAAATAGAAGACAAAAAAATCCTGTATCCTGGGAAGTGGAAGGAAAATACAGGGAAAAATTAAAATATTTATTAAAGAGTGAGGATTAAGACTTTCAAAAATTTAATACTGTTACAGAATCTTTTCAATAAAAAAGAGGGGAGAAACCTAATGAAAATAAAACTGCCCAAAGAACACCAACTTTCAAATTTATTAGAGTGTGAAGCTAGGGGTTGTTGTATAATTAAAATATAAAGAAGCAACCATGAAAATACTCATAAATGCTTCAGCAACTACTTAGAAGCTGGTCATAGAACATGAACTTACTGCTGCACTTGATTGAGGCAGGTCTACAAACACTGTGGCTTTAAAAATAAGTTATTGCTAAAGACTGCTAACCATAATTTGAGCTTTCAGCAAGTTGTTAGTAGTACCATTAAATATATCACGGGATCATAGATCATCATAGCAAATACAACAGTCATTAAAAAGTTTAAAATATTGCAAGAATTACCAAAATGTGACACAGACATGAAGTGAAAAAATGCTGTTGGAAAAAATGGTGCTGACAACAAAAAATTGCTCAATGCAGGGTTGCGACAAACCTTCAACTTGTAAAAAATGCAGTATTTTCAGAAGCAAAGTAAAGCAAAGCTCAGTAAAATGAAGTATGCTTGTAGATAACCTGAAGAGGTGCAGAAAGAGTAGCACCTATTGTTAAAGGTTCTAATTTCAAAGACACCATGCATTTAAAAATTTAAACACTTATTTAACTTAAAGAACAGAAATGTTAACAGGAAAAGGAAAGTAGGGGGCTTGGATAGAAGCCCATATAGTGTCTGGTTGCTTCATAAAGATGTGACTTCAAAAATAGATCTGGCCATTGAGCCTGGCACACAGAAATTGCTCAATAAATGCTCACTGGATCAAATTGTGCAGTTATCAAGAACATCTGGAAGATTCCAGTAAGGCAGTTACTTTCCTGAAAGGGACTTCCTTAAACCAGGGTTTCCCAAAAGTATTCTGTAAGATGGCTCCCACTACTCTCATTAAAAAAAAAAAAAAAAACTGATCAAATAAGTTTTGGGAGTTTGTATGTAACATATTCCTTCTCTAGGGGATATACACATCATAGTATCATATTAAAGGCACTGGTGAGTCCTAGAGTTAAAAAAAATTTTTTTTAACCTTACTTATTTTCAAAGTTCCTCAAACTTTTAATACTATGGGATCCATTTTTCTAGGCTATTATCTCATGGAAGTGGTGTCAAGAAACATATTTTGGGAAATACTGCACTTGACTTTGATGTACTCAACAAACCACTTTCTGATCTTAACTTACTTCTCCAGAGTCTTTCTTACTGGAATCTTCTCATCACAAATTAATAAACTGACTTTCTTAAATGAGTTTGAGTAGCAATAGCCTCTTTACCCAAGGTCTGATCAACTCTAGATGAACCATACATCACAATTCCAGGCATGAAGACTAGAAGGTCAAACCCTGGTATAAAGAGAAGAAAGAGCAATCTTGAAGCTCTACATACCTCTTTTAGATACCACAGTGAGTAGTGAAAATTCCCAAGCACATACTCTCACATATAAATCCTGAATATCTATTTCAAACTCAACACTAACTGGACCACTGGAACCTAGACAGCTTGCAATTACTTAAATTCTAGAGACTTCCCCTCAAATGAAAAAAACTCTCTTGTTTCAACTCGAGGCAGCAGGGTGGAGTAGGGGGGACCATAAATAGGACACTGAATATAATAGTGGTTACTTTGGGATGAGGAACTGGTTGGGCTAGGAGTGGTAAGACCTTCCATTTTAATTCTATGAATTTCTCTATGTACTAAGCATGTATTTAGTACTAGTTGTATAAACATTTTTCATTTAAATGATAGTCTAGGTAATTCTAACTACTGTCCAAATGAAAAAAAAGAAAAAAGAAAAACTGGACAAAATAAAGTATGTCTTTTAAGAAACAAAAAATGCAAACAAGGAAGTAAACATTTATAGGACCAAAACCTAGAAGAAAACTCAGAAAGGTGAGCTCCACACTTGCAGCTACTTTTTCCCTAGGATCAGTTATCTAACAGTTAAGAAGTAGCTGACAGGCTGAGAAGCTGAGCATAAATTCTGATAGACTCACAGGACAACTAAGGAGAATAAAAACTGGAATTCAGGGTCTAAGTAAAAGGTGTGTGTTGGGGGTGGGGAGAATATCCCTGATAAGTCCAGTTATGAATAGAGATCCCAAAAGGCTGCATCCCAGGAGAAGCAGTGAATTGGAAATATTTGAGCTCTCCCAGGCCCAGCTCCTAATCAATTCAATTTTTGACTGGAGTAAAGTAATCTGGGATTACTTGTGTCCTCAACTACTTGTCAAAAGCAAATATCCTCTCTCAAGAAGAAAACATTGTTCTTGGTCTCAAACTGTATCTATACTCTCCTACTCAATGCCTGGCACACGATAAAATAATCTGCCATGTGAAGAGACAGGACAATGTAATTAAAATCAAAGAACAGACTATAAAAACAGGCACTCAGGTGGATCAGATAATAAAAAATTACAAACAATTCTAAATGATTTTTGTCTGATAGCAATAAGCTTAGTTAATTAGAAGATAGGTCAAAAGAATATACAGCTGAATTTAACTGATGAAAAACACAAACTCACAGATTCTAGCACTTTGAACCCCAGAAGGTAATTACAAGGGAAAATCAACTAGGCACATCATAGCAAAACTACTGAAAACCAACGACAAAGATAAAAGAATTTTAAGCACCCAGATAAAAAGGAGAGATTACCTTCAAATGAGCAATAATATGATTGATACTGGTTTCATTAGAAACAATGGTCACCAGAAGACAATATACTATTTTTATAACTGTCAAAAAGTTATTTAATGAGAGAATCAACTAGATGGCAAAACTGGTTCTAAGAGGAATGAAGTGAAGTACTTAGAGTAGGTGAGAGAAGAGTAACTGTAAGACTGCCAATTTAGGGCAATAAAACTGCAATCTCTGCAGGTATCTTTTCTCTAGACAGAAATAATTTAAATCTCTACTAGATAAAATTAATCTGCATCAGTTTTCTACAAGTTAAAGTCCACCCTTGCCAAGTTGTAAAAGAGCCTAATCAAGAGTAAATAGCTAATCAGCAGGGGAGGGTACGGCCCAGTGGTAGAGCACATGCTCAGCATGCACAAGGTCCTGGGTTCATTCCCTAGTACCTCCTCTAAAATAAATAAGTAAACCTAACTGCCTTTCCCCTGCAAAATAAATAAAATAAATAATAAATTTTTAATTAATAAGAAGAATAAATAGCAAATCAATGATACACATCCCTAGGGAAAAAAATAATCACCAGGAGTGCCTGCTTGACAACACCTGGCAGGATACTAAAATGCATTTTGCCCTTTTTGGCTCTTTTCAAATTTTTGACAATTTTTCATTGTCTCTTCTCATGATCATAACATCTAAAATTATTCTTGATTACACACAAACAAGCTACCTTCTTTGCTTCTTGGACTGATTTATTTACACAGGTGCAGCAAGAAATATAACTAACATATATAAACCTCCTTGGACTATAGTCAGCAAATGTAGAGTCACAATGTATTAAGCAGTTACTGAAGCGATAATAATCACTGCTGCCTGGAGAATTCGTAAGAAATTTGGGATTTTATTTTCAATAGTCTCTATTAATCCAAAGACTTAGAATTATTTGCTTCTAACTCAAATATAGAACCAACCAAATTATCACTATTGGTTTCATCTGTGGTATGCCAATAAATGTACGTAAATTCCTCTCTACCTAAAGTCACTCAAATCTAAGGGATCAATGAGAGTAAACTACCATTTAAAGAATATATTATCCCAAATTGCAGAAGTATAGTCTACTAAATTAGAAGTTAGACAATGGTAATGGGTTTTATCATATAACCATCATAAAAATAGTATCAACACTCTGGAAAAAACAACCACAGATTCTCTTCAGTTTATTCAGTCCTCTGTAATTAATTCTGACTGTCCTAGATCATATGTTAACACTATTTTCATGAAAGAATTTGCTTCTAAAGAGAATCTTACAAATCCTAAGTTGGTCCCCTGATAGTCTGGCATCTGTCCAAGCAGTATTAGCTCAGACAATATGAGTCTATTATTCAAGAGCAGAGGTCAGTAAACTTTTTTCATGAAAGGCAAGATAATAAATACTTAAGGGTTTGTGGGCTACATATGGTTTCTATTTCATTTTTTTGAAGAGTGTTTTTTTTTAATGTAAAAACCATTCTTAAACTCAGAGGTTTTACAAAAAAGGAGCCACAACTGTAGTTTAACAACTCCTGTTTAAGAGTATCTGGTATGTCCTTTTTACCAACGTTCTGAGACTACCTTTGTTGAAGACCCAATTTATAACAAAATTATGGAGATGAAACAGGTTAGTAGTTGCCAGGGTGCAAGGGTGGGAGGAAGAGGGGTGGATATCACTATAAAGGAGTATCACAAGGAAGACCTCTGTGGTTATGGAAGAATTCTGCGTCCTGATTACAATGGTGGTTACACGAATCTACAGTGGCAAAATGCATAGAACTACATACATACATTGTACCAAAATCAATTTCCTGATTTTGAAATTGTAATGTAATTATGAAAGATGTAACAACTGAGGGTGAATGGTACACCGGACCTCTCTGTTCTATCTTTGCAACTTTCCGTGAATCTATAATCATTTCAAAACAAAAGTTTTTAAAAAATGTTTTTAAGAAGGTTATCACACAAATTTTTTAAACTGACCACTAAAACCACATACAAAAATCTGTTTCAGGTGAGCAGCAGCTGCAGCTGCTATTGCCTGCAGGGGAGGGGGCAGAAAGACAGTTAAAGGAATCACTTGCAAAGAGAAGTGCATAGACAATTTAAAGACAAGCACAAGGATCAGCAGCTGGTCTTACTGCCCCCAACCCACATCTCTGTCAGTAACTAATACAAGTATGTTCACTTTGTGATAGTTCACTGAACTGTACACTTATGATGTATATGTCACATTTCTAACAAAAACCTTAAAATTACAAGCATGTTGTAAAAACATTCATAAGAGATAAAAAAACAAACATAGCTCAACATTATTTTTAAAAATTACATAGTATTCTATTAGTTGGGTCTCTCTTGATTATTTAACCAATCTCTTATTCAAAGACATTTAGCTTTGAATAATGGAGTTGCTTGGAGTCTAGTTAGAAGAGAAAAATTCCACTTAAGAGGAACAACCAGGGACCAATTTCCACCTAACAGCTGTGGTAAGTCTGACCCAAGTGACTCATGCAAGAAATAAATGGGAACACTTAATAGGTAACAATCACAAAGAAATGGAGAAAACCAAAACACAACCAAAACATTTAGGTTCTTCCCAAGTGTTATACATTATAAACACCATGAATATCCTTGGTATAGTCCTTCCTGAGCACTTGCCTCATGAGCTTATGATAAATTCCTAGAAATGGAATTCCTGGGTCAAAGGCTATGCACATCAACTTTAAAAATCACGTTATTATAGTGTCAAATAATCTTCCAAAAATAATGTTCTAATCTGCCCATGTTTCTCTACATTGTTCGTAACACTGGTATTGTCAAACTTTCCAGTCATTTATATATTGACAGAGAAAGAAAACTATCATTTTTATCTTTCAATAATTTGTGAATCTATACATGTATTCATGCTTTTATAAGGCATCTGTATTATTCTTTATTGAATTGTGTAATTAAGCACTTTGTCCATTTTTCCACTGGAATGATTTGTGAAAATCGCATATAAGGATTATGAACACTTTATTTACCATATAAGTTGAAATACTTTTCCCCAGTCTTTCACTTCTGATAAATATAGTTCATGATGCTTTCTGCCTTACAATTTTTAAACTGCCTTATGCAGTTTTAAAAATTAAGCAGTCATATCTATCAATATTTGTTTTCATTGTTAGGCTTATAAGTATTTTTCACCCCAAATTTATCAATCTCAATCTATGTTTTCACTTAGTACTTCAATGATTTCACTTTTTTAATTTAAATTTTTGAGGCAAATGGAATTTATTTTGCTGTAGGTTGCTCATGAAACATTTCCAAAATAGAATAGGTAACTAATGGAAGGATTAAGAGGAAAGAGGCAAGACTGTTGAGGCCATCAGTAGTCTTCCTCTTATGACTGATGACGCTGAAAACACAACAATAATCCTGAGTCTCAACTGCTGTCTTATTTATGACACAACTATTTGACAATTTACTGGTTGTATCACACTAGTCCCGAAATGTAAAGTACCAAATAATTTCCTCAATTGTCGGATCTTCATCTCCCACATTCATAATGCTATTTTAAATGGCTGAGGTCTGCCTAAATACTGGCCTCCAGATAAAACAAAGATTAACATAAAATTACATTTTACTGGTGTCGCACCTTATTATCCTAGTGTATCAATGGCCTTTTGACATGGAAAAAATGTTCACTGCCCATGTTTTAGAATACTATCACATGAATAATTAACAATATAATGAATTCTCCTCACCCCATCCTCCCAATTTAACTTACCCTATCATAGAGCTCAATGATTAAGTGATAAGCAGCTTCATCACTTCCAAACTGAAAATCTACAATTCTATCCACACCAAGCTGTTTTGCACTGACTAATCTTCGACTCTTCAAATGTTTTCGGCACTAGCAAGAAAGAGAAGAAAAAAGGTATTTATGTAGTAAAAGTGAATTTCTAATCATTTGGTATTGGTTTTAAAGTTAGTTTCACCTTTTGATTTCCATCAGGAACAACATCTTAAAAACAGTAGATAAAACAGTCATAAAATTAAAACTTACAGAATGATAATCAGAAGAAACACATTTTATTTCAGAAGACTCTAGCTGCTCGTTCTGAAAAAGCATTTTATAGTTATTTTTTAAGTAGAAAATGACAGTCCTATAGCGAAATTTACTTTGTTGCTTTATACCACTGTGAAATAAATCTGTTCTTGTCCTGACGACTCGCTCAAAGCCGTAACTTTTTTAAAGTCTCTTTGTATTCCAATTCTTTAAGTATCCCAAATTTCCTTTTGTGCATTTGTGTTCAAGATTAACTAGTGATTTCCACTAATCTTTCACTTCAAATACAAATTCTGAACCATGAGCTTACTGGAATTCTATAAATTAGGCCTCCAACATACTCACAACCAATTACCCTCTATTCCGACAAACTTTACTAATAAAACCCAAACAGTTTTTCTCATTCCATCTCAAAGCTTTTGAACAACCTAGCTCAATTCCAAATATAATAACTCCTATCCTTTATCAAATCCCATTCCTCCTATCCCTAGACATAAGGTTCTTGTTCTTATTAGCATTAAAATAAAATTAGCATGTTAAACTCAAATACAACTTACTCAGCAAATACCTGTTGTTTTAGATTACATGTACTAACTACCCTTTGGTAAAAATATTTAAGTATGATATGGACCAGAAACAAGACTACACTGTAGCCCCTAAAAAAAAAATTTATAATTGTTTCTAATTTTTGAATTTGAAAGACCCCTTAGATAAGACCAGCAGGAAAGAATGCTTTCTTTTCTTCAAGTCTCAAAATCAAGACAAATTTTACAGAGAAGTTAATCTAAAACCATCTTAAAAAAAAAGAAATATACAGGGTCATTCTTAGCAGTAATGCCAATTCTTTCATAACTAAGAGTTCTCCAGACCTATAGTTCAAATTGATAAAATTTTCATTTTATGTATTTAGGCAGAATTATATACTCACATATATTTAGGCAGACATAAGAAGGCTTTTCAACATTAACAGAATAAACAATCTCCCCCTCCTAAATTCAATAGTTCTGATTTTAAAATGGCCTATATTAATTTTGATTTAAACAGTGACCTACATTCAGGGCTATCTTTAAATCCCCAGGTGAAAATCATAATCAATTCTTTCAGAGTCCCCCCAGTAATATATTTGAGAAAAACAAAGTTAAAAATTAAGATAAAAGGCATCCTTGAATGCAGTATTAGTCCACAACATGGAATGGTTAAAAAAAGGGAAAATTATCATGAGTATAGAAGGACATATAGTACATATGTCAAGCTTCTTTTTTCTTTATTTCCCTACCAGTAGCTTGGTGAAAACTGTGTTCTGTCAGTGCCACAAAGCTACAGCTGGCATCCCCAAATGTGAAAACTCGGAACAACTGCTGTGATTTACCACATATTGAATGTGACCCTGCCTGTGACATACAACAGTAACAGCTCTATTTTAGTTACTTATGAAGTGCTTAACATTGTCTGCTTCATTAAAGGAGTTTTAATACACAGTTAGATTGACATGTACACCTAACTCATAGAATTCGAAGATTTTTTTTCGAGTGTCGTCTTATTGGCGTAGCCTGATTTGGAGGATGTTTACACAATCCTGGTATCATGTCTATTTTTTGTTAACTGAAGTAGTCAGTTACAGTGTGTCGATTTCTGGTATACTCATGTATCTTGTTACCTGTTACAGCATCTGTAAAACTGAGTGATACTTGTTCTTCATAGTCACTGAGCTGTTAAACATCTTAAATGAAATATGTATTATTCTTTGAAAAGTGCTATACAAAGTGTCATTATTATTAAGGACAATCCCCAAAAGAATCATTTTGGGTTACTATTAAGTAAATTAAACTTTTAAGAATTTGATAATTTTGACAGGCCTTGTGATTTGGGAAACACTTACCTAACGTGTAATCCAAAACAGATTCTAAGTTGCTGGGGATAAGGATCTTCTCTGTAAAGCCTCTAATGAAATAACACAATGCCAAAACAAATAAATTTCTGAAGGAAAGTGAGGAGGAGAGGAAGAAGGAAATTAATACATATGGAGCCCTATTATGTGTCAGGCATTGTGTTAGGTGCTTTACATGTAACTTCATTTAATCCTCACCAATAACCCCATAGGGGAAGCATTAACTACATTTTACATTTAGAGAAACATGTTCCAAGAGATTAAGTAAAATTTCCAAGTTATAAAAGTATTTAGTGACAAAACCATTAATTCAAAGTTAGGTATATCTGACTCTAACATCTTTCCTCTGTACCACCTGAGCTTTGAGTATATCTGTTATGTCATTAAACGAATGGGTAGCACATCCAAAGTGCAGGATCTGAGTTTTAATAGTAAAAACAAAAATAAAGAGAGAAGTAAAAAGACATGATTGGTAACATACTAAAGTCAGTGAGTATTCCAACAAAATACAGATTGGTAGCTGAAAAGTGAGCTATCGAAGATAAGTCTAGGGAAGAAGGGAAGGGGGCAGATCACAGAAAGTCAAGAATGCTAGAATATAGGACATGGATTAAGAAATTAGAGAATCACAAAAGGTGGGATAACTAATGAAAATCATGCTTTAGAAAAATCAATGTTGATTTAATACAGAATTGTTTTGATAGTGAGAAGTGGAGTAGAGTTAAGAGACTATGATGTCAAACATTATAAAAGCTTGAATCAGAATGGTAACTGTGAGAACAGAAAGATTTGGAGCACAATGGGTTGTGAGGGTAAAAGGGAGAAGTTAATAAACATCTACTTTATTCATCTAGTACCTATCAACGACTCTATCTTTATCTCTATTGTATTCATAATAGTGAAGGAAAACCAAACAGTTTAAAACTTCAATGTTAGTGAGCAATCTTAGGGCCTTAAAATTTAGCTTCTACAAGTAAAACTTAAAATTTACCTTCATGGCAAAACTAGACGGCATCATATTCTTAGGCCACTCGAATTCTGTCGTGTGAATTCGTATGCCAGATTCAAGTAAAAGTGTAGCTTTAAAATCTGGTCTGTAGAAGAAAAATGTTAAAAATTTTCTTTAGGGCATTTGCCAGCGCTAACCCAGATTTTTTTTAAATCTCGTATTTAATTACAAACGATAAAGCAAGCCTATGAAATGCTCTTACTTTTGAAGACGAATAAGGTATGTCTTATTATCCACATCGTAAACATTGTTTACTCTCATTCCTAGCAAGCTGCAAAGAGAAATGAAACATGTAACAAATCATTTTGAAACAAAACTTCACACAATTTAAAGCTGTAAGCGGAAGCAGAGCCTGAGAAAAAAAGCGAATCTTCGACTTTAAAGATCGGGACTCGACGAAAGGAATCAGATTCTGAAGGACATCAGGCATTCAGCCCAAATCTTAAGTGTAACCATTTAAGAACAGAAGTGGTGGCCGCCTCTCTTGCTCCCTCATCGTCGGAGACAGCCTACACTGTCTATGGAGTGTGTATCTACCTTTACTTTAACCTGAGCACCCAACCCCCACACCTCGTATCCTTTCTCTCTCCTGAAACAGCCTACACTCTATGCAGTATGTATCTCTCTAAATAAATCTACGTTCACTGAAAAAACAAAAAACAAAACCACAGAAGTGGTGTATCAGCTCTAGGAACACCATACAATGCCTTGAGTCTTTGAAAGGATCCAATTTTTAAAGGAAATACAGTAAAATCTAACCCACTTAATTTATTATTAAAGGAAAAAAAATGTAAACGAGGCCCGGGGAGATACGACAAAGCTCACACAGCTGAACTGACCGAATAACAGATACCAGACTACAATCCAGATCCCAGGCCAAATCTGTTACCTCCAGCTAAAACGCGATGCTGCCTTTAGGGTGAAGAGAGCGTCTCACAAACCAAGCGCCTAGTTTGGAAATCACTGGAGCAAATGATTATTCCTCCGTCTTGGCGTCCACCTGGCGTCTCGTGTTTTACTAAACGTTTGCTGCGAGACCCAGGCGACTCATGCCAACAAGACGAGAGCCCCGCCATAGCCCGACACAAGACCTGGCGAGACTAGCAGCCCACGAGAGCGGGGTTGCGGCATGCGGCCGCCGGGGACCCCCCGGGTATCCTGAGGGCTACGGAAAGATGTCACGCGCTCGCCCATTCAGGCCTAGCCAGATCCACAGAAGAACAGCAGTGAGAGGACTAAGGAGAAACATCAGGCCGGTTTCGTTTCCACCGTGTGGCCACGGCCTCTGCCTTCTGCACTCCCCGCACGAACGTGGTCACCTGTCGTACAGTACCTGGCATTCAGCTCCGCGACTACCGCGCGGAGGTCAATGGTGCTAAAGCGGGTCTTCATGGCGAGGTTTGAGGGTTGCTACCGCAGTTTCCTCCACTACCTGCCTGAGTCAACGCCGCTACTCTTATGCGCAGGCGCACTTGGCGTATCTACGGCTGCGCAGAAGGCCCAATATTCCTTAAAGCGAACGTGTTTGCGTCACTTCTCTGAAGTATTCGGCTGTCAAGCAGTCGTCAGCTCGCTTTTCGTTGTACCAAAACAATTTGAAGTAGATCCGAACTATTCTCTGGAAACTGCATTCCTTCCTGGAAAGCTTAACGAACTAGTCGGGTTACTTTGCCTCGTTGTATTTCGGGACTCAAGCCAGCCTCCATAGTGACCCCTGCTGGTCGTAACAATTTGCGAGAAGCGTACTGGGAGGATTTCCCCAGGCGCGCGGTAGACTGTATACTAGAGCCACGACCCCGTTCCCTGATGTGTAGAGTTTTGAAATGTAACGAAGAGGACTGTTTCATTCGCCCTACGTTATCCTCAATGATCGAGGAGAACCAACCCTCAAAAACAAGTTCCTATTCTAATAAGTCTTACTCTCTGAAGAACATCTTGCAGTGTATTGTGGGATTCTCATCAATCTACGTCTTGGGATCCCCTGGGCTTAGCATTGTACCAGGTACATCATAGGGGCTCCATAAATGCTAGGCAACCTGAATATTCAAGTGTTTAGCTAGATAATGGTGAAGTAAGATTAAAAATAAAAATAAGGCAAGATTGTCTCGCCAAAGGGGATTCACGCTGTAGTAGGAAATAAGTCGTGCAAGAATGTAAATATGGTACTTTTTGTTTGCTATGATAGATACGTGGGAAGAAAACCAATTTTAAGACAGGAATCCAAAAGAGACGGGGTCTCGCTATGTTGCCCAGGCTGGAGTGCAGTGGCTATTCACAGGCGCGATCCCACTACTGATCAGCACGGGAGTTTTGACCTGCTCCGTTTCCGACCTGGGCCGGTTCACCCCTCCTTAGGCAACCTGGTGGTCCCCCGCTCCCGGGAGGTCACCATATTGATGCCGAACTTAGTGCGGACACCCGATCGGCATAGCGCACTACAGCCCAGAACTCCTGGGCTCAAGCGATCCTCCTGCCTCAGCCTCCCGAGTAGCTGGGACTACAGGCGCGCGCCACCGCGCTCGGCAAGGAACCCGGAGAGCCTAGCGGCTCCAAGTCCTAACAAGCAGAATTCCCACCAGCAGGAGGCGACCCTAAGTAAAAAGGGAGCGGCTGACATTTCAGAAGAAACCAGGAACTGCAGACGCTAAGGGGGCTGCTGTAGGACGTACAGCAATAGCATTACTGCGTCAAATAGCACAGTTAATCATGCAGAATAGCTCAAAATATGGAATAAACCATTTGGAGGGTTTAGGAAAGACTGGGAGCCAAGTCGACTGTATTCCAAACAGTAAAAGCGAGAGGTCTAACTGTACAAAGACTGTATTAAGGGTCTTGTGTTGGCTCTGAAGGCATTCCCAAAAGAATGCCTAAATATTTTGTTTAAAAGCAGCCAATGTATAAACTCCACATTGAAGGGGACAACTTTCAGATGCTCCTTATGAACGAAAACTGAAATACTTTATAGCAAAATTCCCACTCTAGGGCCCTAGACTCATAAGATGTGAGCAAGATACAAATTTAAGTTATACACGGGACAGTCACTCAACTAACTCATACACTGCTTCTGCATTGTCTGTAAGAAAAATGTGCATCAGATGGAAAAATGCAAGAAAATATATAAGGGGGAGAAGCAGATAAAGATAAATGTAAAAAGTACAAAGAAACTGCATCATTTACTATTGAATTCTATCATTTCTGGTTTTTTGAAATAATTTCTCTGAGAAAATTCTGAACCAGGGATACTCGAGGACTTGCAGGAAAAATAAGAGTTAACAGGAGGTGGACAGCTCATCTTCCGATTTTCAAACAAAAGATAAAAGTGAATATCTGAAACCACAAACAGGTGCTATTGGCATTTGCCCCAACTGAAAATTTAGAGGTAATTATTAATGGATAACTTATGGGCATCTAATGCTGTGATTCTCAAGCTTTAGTGTGATTCACTGATGACTGTGGACATAAAGCAAATTCGAAGAAATCACACCCAGAAATTTTGAGTCATTCATTAACTTTGGCTCAAGGTATCTGCATTTGTAACTACCAAGTTGAAAGGGGCCTGAAGCCCATCCTTGGAAGTTCACTGATCTCTAGAAGATGAAGTGGGGATTTATAGGAACCAACATAGTTTCATTTCAGATAAGATATAATTTATTAATCTTACCTTCCACTCAACTCATGGAAATAGTCTATGTGTAGTGTCAGGGAAGGGAAAATGTCCCCTTCTAGCCTTCTTGAGTTCTTATGGCTGGACTAATAATAAAATTGATGGAATACAGATTGATAGGAGAAAAAATTTAATTCATGCACATGGAGGTCTCATGGAAATGAGACCTAAGAAGTGGCCAAAGCAGGCAGTTTTTAAACTTTTTAGACAAAGGAACAATAAATTTGTAAGGAATTCACAGGACAAAGCAACTTAAGTTTTGGGTGCTCAATTAGTAAAGAATCTAAACAGAATTCGGGCTTGGAGTAGTAAATTAAAGAAGTAACAAGGTTCATTTATCAGACTTCTCAGCCTGAATTCCCTATCTCTGGCAATAAGGATATTCTTCCAACTTCAGGGAATACACCTTTGACATGAGCAATTTATTTCTTGCTTTCAGGGAAATAGAAAGGAAGGAGAGAGTGTCCCTCTTGTGTTGGCCATTTCTTAGGTAACTTTAATTCAAAATAATCAATATGCTATTGAGGCATATTTTGGGGAAACCTACCCTGAGCCCCAACAGTAGTCTTTGAGATGTTTTTTAAATTGAGGTAAATTCACATAACATAAAATTCACCATCATAACTATTTTAAAGTGTATACTTCAGTAACTCTTAAAATATTCACAATGCTGTGCAACCATCTCCACAATTCCATAATACTGGGGTGCATTTGTCATTTAAGACCTACTCACCCACCCTGCGAGGGCCCAGAGAACACTCCTTTCCCCACAACAGTGGGAAATAAATTTGTGAGGGAATCCTTAGCACCCTTGATAAGCCCTGTGATCACATTTCTCTGCAGGCCAGAATTTATAGTGGGAAACCTAATTGCAAGGGGAGTGATTGGACCTTGGAGTGGTAGAGTCCAATGGCAGCCCTTCATGTCCAGAGGCAGGTTGGGTGTGACTACCATAGTGGACAGCAGAGTCAAAGCAGCGATATGAATAGTCTGACTCATGGAGACTGATCATGTTGGCTATTTGATCACAGTGTTCATAGAAGTATATATGGGAAGCTTACTAAATTCTTACTTGGTCTGTATAAGCCAAAGAGTTGTAGCTCAAGTGAACAAAAATCATAAAAACAGAGTCATAGACTTTCAATCAATTTCCAGACTTCAGCCAGTTTGCAGACCCAGAACTCCTTGTATGAAAGGGAGTCTGGGTAGCGGCAGGGTATAGCTCAGTGGTAGAGCACATGTTTAGCATGCATGAGGTCCTGGGTTCAATTCTCAGTACCTCTATTAAAAAAGAAAGAAAAGGAAGTCTGGGTCCCCTTGAGGAAGGGACCTACAGCCTTTTATCGGGGTAATTGTGCATTGGGGATTGATTACTGGATACTGGCTCTGAACTGATACTAACAGGAGATTCAAAACATCACTGTGGTCCAGTCAGAGTAGGGGTTTATGGAGGTCAGGTGATTAATGGCGTTTTAGTTCAGGTCTGTCTCACAGTGGCCCAGTGAGTCCCCAAATCCATTATGTGGTTATCTCCCCAGTACTGGAATGCATAATTGGAACAGACATACTCAGCAACTAGCAGAATCCCCACACAGGTTCCCTGACCTGTGGAATGAGGGCAGTTATGGAGGAAAGGCCAAGCAGAAGCCACTAAAACTGTCTCTACCTAGGGAAATAGTAAACTGAAAGCAATACTGCATTCCTGGAGGGATTGTGGAGATTAGTGCCACCATCAGGGACTTGAAAGATGCAGGGGTGGTGATCCCCACCACACCCCATTCAACTCACCTATTTGGCCTCTGCAGAAGACAGAGGGATCTTGGAGAATGGCAGTGCATTATTGTAAGCTTACCCAGGTGGTGACTGCAGCTGGAACTGCTGTACCAAATGCGGTTTCATTGCTTGAGCAAATTAGCACATCCCCTGGCACCTGGTACACAGCTATTGATCTGATGATGTCTTTTTCTCCATCTCTGTTTTTTGTTTTTGTTTTTATTTTGGTGGGGGAGGTAATTAGGTTTTTTTTGTTTGTTTGGTTGGTTGTTTTAATGGAGGGACTGAGGATTGAACCTAGGACCTCGTGCATGGACTCTACTGCTGAGCTATACCTTCCTCCCTCTCCATCTCTGTTAATAAAGACCACCAGGAGCAGTTTACTTTCAGCTGGCAAGGCCAGCAATCCACCTTCACTGTTCTGCTTCACTGGAGTATCAACTCTCCAGCCACTATGCTGATTGGACCTAGGGAAAAAGAAGAAGCAACTCTAGACTTATTGGTAAGACATTTGTGTGTCAGAGAGTGGAAACAAATCTGACAAAAATTCAGAGAACTACCTCAGAGAAATTTCCAGGGGTCCAGTGTTGTGGGATATGTCAAGATATCCCTTTTAAAGTGAAGTTTAAGTTGTTGCATCTGGCCCCTTTACAGCCAAAAAAGAGGCACGATATCTCTTTGGATTTTGGAGACAATATATTCCTCATTTGGGTTGCTAGTTTGGCTCATTTACCCAAAAAGGGGCCCAAAAAGCTGTTTTGAGTGGCATTCACATCAAGAGAAGACTCTGCAGCAAGTCCAGGCTGCCGTGCCAGCTGCTCTGTCACTTGGACCATAAGATCCTGCAGATCTAATGATGCTTGAAGTGATAGTGGGAGACAGAGATGCAGCTTGTAACATCTGGCAAGCCCCTGTAGGTGAATCACAGTGTAGACCCTCAGAATTTTGGAACAAATCCCTGCCATCCTCTGTGAATAACTGTTCTCCTCTTAAGAAACAGTTTTTGGCTTGCTACTGGGCCTTAGGAGAGACTGAATGCTTAACTTTAGGCCACCAAGGTTATCATACAACCTGAGCTGCCCATAATGAACTGGGTGTTACCTGGGTGTCACCAAGCCATAAAGTTGGGGATGCAGAGCAGCACTCCATCATCAAATGGAAGTGATACATATGAGATCAGACCCGATCAGGTCCTGAAGGCACAAATAAGTTACATGAAGAAGTGGCCCAAATGCCTATGTCCCCTGTTCCTGCTACACCACCTTCTCTTTCCCAGTCTACAGCTATGGCCTCATGAGGCATTCACTACAATCAGGTGACAGGGGAAGAAGAGACTTGGGCCTGGTGTATAGATAGTTCTGTGTGATATGTGGACACCTCCCTAAAGTGGACAGCTGCAGCACTCATGCCTTTTCCCAGGACATCCTTGAAAGACAGTGGCGAAGGGAAATCCTCCCAGATGGTAGAACTTTGAGCAGTATACCCGGTTGTTCATTTTGCTCAGAAGGAGAAACGAGCAGACATGCAATTATATACCAACTCGTGGGCTGTGGCCAATGGTTTTGCTGGATGGCCAGGGACTTGGAAGGAACATAATTTGAAAATTGGTGATGATGAATTCTGGGAGAAGTATGTGAACAGACTCCTCAGAATGGGTGAAGAATGTGAAGACTGAGTAAAGTCTCTTCAGCAAATGGTGTTGGAAAAACTGGACAGCTGCATGTAAATCAATGAAGTTAGAATACTCCCTCACACCATACACAAAAATAAACTCAAAATGGCTTAAAGACTTAAACATAAGACAAGACACCTTAAGCCTCTTAGAAGAAAACATTGGCAAAGGATTATCTGACATAAATCTCAGCAATATTCTCCTAGGACAGTTTACCCAAGCAATAGTAATAAAAGCAAAGATAAACAAATGGGACCCAATTAAACTCATAAGCTTTTGCGCAGCAAAGGAAATCATAAGCAAAACAAAATGACAAGCTACATAATGGGAGAAAATATTTGCAAATGATGTGACTGACAGGGGCTTAATTTCCAGAATATATTAACAGCTCATACAACACAATAAGAGAAAAACAAACAACCCAATCCAAAAATGGGCAGAAGATCTAAACAAGCAATTCTCCAATGAAAACATACAAATGGCCAATAGGCACAAGAAAAAAATGCTCAATATAGCTAATTACCAGAGAAATGCAAATCAAAACTACAGTGAGGTATCACCTTACACCAGTCAGAATGGCCATCATTCCAAAGTCCACAAATGATAAATGCTGGAGAGGCTGTGGAGAAAAGGGAGCCCTCTTACACTGTTGGTGGGAATGCAGTTTGGTGCAGCCATTATGGAAAACAGTATGGAGATTCCTCAAAAGACTAAAAACAGACTTACCATATGATCTAGCAATCCCACTCCTAGGCATATAACCAGAGGGACCCTTAATTCAAAAAGATACATGCACTCCAATGCTCGTAGCAGCACTATTTACAACAGCCAAGACATGGAAACAACCTAAATATCCATCGACAGATGACTGGATAAAGAAGATGTGGTATATTTATACAGTGGAATGCTACTCAGCCATAAAAAATAAAATAATGCCATTTGCAGCAACATGGATGGATCTGGAGACTGTCATTCTAAGTGAAGTAAGCCAGAAAGAGAAGAAAAATACCATATAATACCACTTGCATATGGAATCTAAAAAATAAGACAAATCAACTTATTTGCAAAACAGAAACAGACTCAGACATAGAAAACAAACTTAGTGGTTACCAGGGGGTGCAGGGGGTGGGAAGGGATAAACTGAGAGTTCGAGATGTGCAGATGCTAACTACTATATATAAAATGGATAAATAACAAGCTTATACTGTATAGCACAAGGAACTATATTCAATATCTTGCAGTTATCTATAATGAAAAAGCATATGAAAATGAATATATGTATGTATATGTATGACTGAACTATCATGCTGTATACCAGAAATTGATACAACATTGTAAACTGACTATACTTCAATAAAACTTTTTAAAAGATGAATATGAATATATCTATGTATGTCTATGTACATCTGGGACATTATTCTGTACACCAGAGATTGCACATTGTAACTGATTATACTTCAATTAAAAAAAAAAGACTACATGGAAAGGAAGATGGATCTGACTGAATGCAGTTTTACAGCTAAGCCTGTTAAAGTGCCAGCCATGTGAATTAAGGCATCTTGAACCCTCCAGATTAGACCAGCCATCAGCTGAATACCACCAAATGATCACAGTCAATAGCACCTAGAGCAGAATTGTCCAGCAGAGCTTTGCCCAAATTCCTGACCTTCAAAATAATGAGACATAATAAAATAGTTGTTATTTCAAACAACCAAGCTTTGGAATAGTTTGTTGTACACTGTGTTAGTCCATTTAGGCTCCTATAACAAAAATACCATGGTCTGGGTGGCTTAAACAATGAATGCTTATTTCTCACAGTTCTGAAAACTGAGAAGTCCAAGATCAAAACACCCACAGATTTGATGTCTGGTGAAGTCCTGCTTCCTTCATAGGGTCACAGACAGCTGTCTTCTTGCTGTGACCTCAAGTGGCAGAAGGGACAAAGGAGCTCTCTAGGGTCTCTTTTATAAGGGCATTTAATCTGATTCATGAGGATTTTATGACCTATCACCTCCCAAAGATACCACTTCCAAATACTATCACACTGAGGATTGATTTCAACATATGGAATTTTTAGGGGGCACAAACATTCGGTCTATAGTATACACTATAGGTAACACAAACAACAAGCAAATTAAAGCAAAAAATGTTTTAAGAAAGTAAATGTTCTAATATTAATAATAAAACAAAGTAGAGTTAAGAACAATAATGCACTGAAGTAGAAACCATAAAGGATAAGGCTTAGTAGGTTTGAAAACATAAAACTTTAATGTTGCTGTATGTCTAAAATATTCCACCGTTAATACAAGTAAAACCTTAAAACAAAAAAGTATGGTCAGCCTCATGATTTACTGAACTTCTTTCATGGATGTTTGCAGGAAATACCAAGTACTGGGTGGATGGTTAAAATAGGTATTCAGTAACGGTATTGAGCTTAAGCCAAACACAGTGCATTTTTAACAGTGGCTTCCTGAAAACCATACTTTAACCCAGGAGAGAGTTTTTGGTATTGGGTATTTCAGGCATTTGGGCAGGCTAATGAATTTTACTTAGTTACTTAGCAGGTATCGTGAGAACCTAAATCACCTTACATGGCCCATTTTTTAATGACTGCGTCCCCCCACCCCCACCTCACTAGGCCTGAAGCTCTACAAAGGCAATGACTTGTCTACACTATTTTTGATTATCTAGTATCGACACAGGATCTGGTAAATATTTGACACATAAAATTTTTTAAGTGGATAGATGGGTAGATGAATGGATAGATGGATAGATGAATAGATGGATGAATTGCTAAAATGTTATACTTTTAAAGAAAGACACACACACACACACAGAAAAAGTATTGACCATGAAAATCTGTTGAATGTGAAAAGTTTAAAAAAAAAGTACAAGCATTTTAAAGAAGTTACTGGAATGATTCCTTTCTGACCTCACAAATTTTTCAGGTGCAGACTAACCTTAATGCCCCTTGTGTATTTGTTATCTGTTGGTATTGTAACAAATTACCACAGAGTCAGTGTACGCAAGTACACCTGTGTGGTTCAAAGGAACACAAATTCATTATCTTACAGTTCTGAAGGTCAGAGGCCCCAAGTAGGTCAGCACGGCTGCATCTGTGTTAGAGGTTCTGGAGGAGAATCTGTTTCCTTGCTTTTTCCAGCTTCCAGAGGCTGTCCACAGTCCTCTGCTGGCACCTCTGCATGACTCCACTCTCTGCTTCTAGGCTGCATCTCCTTCTCTGGCTCTGACTCTCTTGCCTCCCCCTTAAAAGGATCCTTGTAATTAGACTGGGTCCCGTGGGATAATCCAGGATAATCTCCCCATCTCAAGATTCTTAATTTACTCACATTTGTAAATCCCTCTTACCATGTTAGGTAACATATCACAGGTTCTAGGTATTAGGAAATTCACTTCTTTGGGGGGAGAAGGGGTATTATTCTGCTTACCACACCTCAGTTCCACAAAGCTGAGAAGTTCTCCCAGAGGGTGGAAAACACCTAAGGTGAGTAGGAACCCCAGGGCTAACACAGGTGGCTACTCACATGCCATCCTTACTTCCACAGGTAAGTCATTCTGGGTCAAAATCAGGGATCTGTGAAGTGAAAACCTAATAAGGCATGCCGAAAGTATTTTGCTTCTTATTTTCTGGGTGAAGTGGGGTAGAGATGTAAAAAGTAAAAAAGCATCTCCATACATCAGTATTCAGTGAAAATGCATTCAGTAGGAGATGTCTTTCAAATTCTTAAAAAGTTGTCCTTAATAATTAGAATAAGACTTATTCCACACAGTTGTAGGGGGAAGAAGTCTGTTCAACTCAAGAAGGGCCTTTTCTAACTCATTTGTTTGTTCAATGGAATGGGTCACCTAAAAAAACCATTGGCTTTATGAATAGCTTACTACATTGTCCCTTTCTTCTTCGTTTTAGAAGTATATGAAAGTCTGTGTTTAGAGTCTTTAAATTTACAATAGATTATCAGATTAATGTTAAGACTAATGTGAATGCTTGATCAATTTCCACTGCCCCTAAAATGCCTAAATTTAAAAAGGAGTTCTCAAAAACAAAAAAATAAAAGGGAACCCTCTAAGACAGTCCTTTCACAAAGTTGAAATTAACCATCGTACCACCAAAACCTTCTGACAATCTTAAAGATTCTCTTCTTTCATACTTTCTTTACGTATTTCTTTTTAAAAAGAGATAAAGATACAGGACTCGCTCTATATGGCTCAGTGAAGAGCGTTTAGGCATTGCTCTCATCAACTAGTTTCGAGACCCAGACCCACAGAGACCCAGCGAGAGCTGGAAGTCCCCTGCATTTCAATTCCATCGCTAACATTAGCTCTTGGTAATCCGAGCATCAAGGGGAGAGACAGGGTGGCAGCATTTTGTCACGCTGGCCCATTACCTCGGCTATCACAGGGCCGTCTGGGATCCTTTTAGGTTGGTTTTTCCTCTATCGAGGTGTCCCGTTGGAAGGTCAGCCCTATCTGTAAACGGGTAGAATGTAAGGATTCGGATGAAAGCCAGATCTCCCTGCCACATTTAAAAGCAAAAACTTTGATAGGACAGTGCTGAATGAAGGTAACATGTCGCAGGAGGTGGGGAGGGAAGGTCCGGTCAGGTAAGGGAAAGAGTAGTAACAAAGTAGCAAACTGGACCGCCACGGGCAGAACTTACAAATTCTGGACTCGGAGTGCATTTTTCGCAGTGATATCTGGCAGCCATTTTTGCCAACAGGTTGTGAGAAAATGAGCATCCCCTGTTGGCTCCGAGGGTGATAACAGCTTTTCGCAGAGACGTTTTGACAACGTTCCAGTAGGGGTCAGTGATGAGGTGGCTACAAGTCCCTGAGTATCCAAGTTACCCAGTGAGCTGTAACTCTAACAGACGTGAAAAAGGAGACAAACGTGAGACAGTGGGAAGAGGGAGCGCCAGTGATAAAGACCAGTCATACCTCGTTTATTTTAAAGCATCTATCAGTGAATTACTGAATACCTAAAAAGGATGAATTTAGGAAGAGGCAGGCTTTTATTGTTCAGAAAAATACACGGATTTAGGAGGTACAGGATTCCCTTAACAAGGAATCCAAAAGAGACGGGGTCTCGCTATGTTGCCCAGGCTGGAGTGCAGTGGCTATTCACAGGCGCGATCCCACTACTGATCAGCACGGGAGTTTTGACCTGCTCCGTTTCCGACCTGGGCCGGTTCACCCCTCCTTAGGCAACCTGGTGGTCCCCCGCTCCCGGGAGGTCACCATATTGATGCCGAACTTAGTGCGGACACCCGATCGGCATAGCGCACTACAGCCCAGAACTCCTGGGCTCAAGCGATCCTCCTGCCTCAGCCTCCCGAGTAGCTGGGACTACAGGCGCGCGCCACCGCGCCCGGCGGTGATGAGGCTCAGCAATGAGATACTAGAGGCTGAAGGCACCGTGACGTCACCTGAGGCGGGGCAGGCCAGGGCTGAGGCAGTCACGGGAATAAGACACGCCCATCGCAAGGTGGCCGGGAGGCTGAGGCCGTGTGACGTCATGGGGCGGGGTTGTGGTCCTGCCTCGGTGGTTTGCGAGCTACGAACACGATACTTTCCCCTATTCCGGCCTCAGCTGCCGGCCCTTCTGCTTGGAACACTGTTCTCGTATAACAGAAATTGGTCACTTTGCACTTAATGGTCGTAGGTGTCGTGGCCGGATACGCAGCGAGCACAAAAGGAAAGGCAATACCCTGGTCCCTCTGCATTGCCTTTCTTCAGCAGGCCTGAAATAAGTGCTGCATGTTTGGAGGAATGTTATTTACAAGGGAACCGAACCGTCTGTCCCTGAATCTCCCATTATCCACAGCAAGCGTTTAAGAGGTGCCTTGGCTGTATGAAGGACTGTAACCCGTGGTAGCAGAGGTTGGGGGTCCGGAAAAATGCTACAGGCCAGCTCTGTTTTCACTGTCGGAACGAAGAGAGCTTGGGGGAGCCGTCTCCTCTCGCGGTCCCTGCATGTTCGTTGCCCGTTATTGTTGGGGGAAAAAAATCTAGGATTTGGGTACACCGGTTCACGAATTAGGATTTGGCAGCCTAGAGTCTCTTCCGGAACAAGGTTAGTCTAGGAAGGCATTAAGGGGAAGAAGGAAAAGAAAATATCACCAGCCATGGTAGATCTGCAATCAGCTGAACTTTTCTGCCCCCTATCGGCAATCTTTTCCATCCCCCCCTTTCTTTTAGTTAACTAGTCCAAACTTCTTCCTCCACCTCCTCCCTTACATTAGATAACTTTGCTCCCTCCTTCGTAGGTAAAGTAAAGGCCATCAGAAAAGAACTCAACTTTGTTGTTACTCCGCCCTTCTCTAAAATTTCTTTATGTCTTCAAGGAAGGGCAACACCTTGTTCTCTCTTCCTATCTCAAACCCAGTAGGTCAAAATTCCTCCATTAATCATTTCCAAACCCACCTTGTGTGTGTGTGTCTCTCTCATTTTTGTCTCACTTATATAAAGAGATTCTGAGCTTTCTTTCAACTCTCTGACCTTACCTCTCTCTCCAAATAAAATCTGTTGTTTTCATGGATGTACTTCCTGAAAGCACATTCTACAATTACTGCATTCACTTCCTAGCATTCTGTCTTCAGTCCCCAGCCTACCAACATACTGAAATTATTTTAGGGCTCCCATATCTAAGCCTCCTAACAGGCAGTTCTAAGGGACTTGCAGATTTATGTGACATAATTTACTCCCCCCACCATATGAACCACTTGTGACCACTACCTTCTCCCTGAAGGTTTCTTCTTGGTTCTTATTGACAGTCTCTGCTATGGCCTCCAAAGCTTTGCTGATCCTTCCTCTGCCCACTCTATAAATGTTGTTTCTAGTAGTTCCTTCCTAAACCTTCTCTTCAGTCTCTTTAGTCATGCTCTTCATAAGTGATCTCATCAGTCCTCAAGGGTCTCAAATCTATATAGCTCCATCCAAAGTGACACTCTTTGCAGAGTTCCAGATTTGTATTTCAAGTGCCTACTAGGTGTCACAATGAAATAATTCAGAACTTCAAAGTCAGCATGTGCAAGCAAAAGTGACCATCTTCAGATCCCTTCCTCCAAACGGTGCCTAACTTCCCATATTCTCACTCTCTACCAATCCATTCAGCTGGTCACTTCAGAACTCTGAGTCATTCTTGACCACTGTTTGAATCACTTAACACCACATATTTATTTCTTGTCTATCCAATGACAGGCAATGAGCTTGGTGATGGAGATGTAGTGGTAAAGAAAAGAAATATGGTGGGGAGACAAACAACACAGATTAAAAAAAAAAGTAATTGCAAGCTGTGTTAAGTACCATAAAGGAAATAAAGTTCGGAGATGAACAATAATAGCAGGAAAAGGGGAGGCGACCTACTTTAGAGAAAGTAGTCATGTCAGCAGATAGGGTAGGGGGTCCCCAAATAAAGAGAACCCAGCATGGCTTTCTTGATATAAGAGAAGCCCTTTTGGGCTTAAGCCATTTTACGACCTAAGCCTGGCCACACAGTTGTCCTTGAACAGGTCTCAGTAATTAATGATTTTAAGGGAACAATAGAATGTAGGAACAAATGACTATAATCAGGCAAGAGAAGTAAAAATAGCAAAGATAATTTGGAAAGACTCTCAGTTCTGTTCCAATGGTAAAGATTAGCCTGAATCTCTCAACTACCAGATCAGCTGGAACCTAAGGGATCAAGAGGCTGACCTTTTCTGACCCTTGTGATTTCAATCAACTGAAGCTTGAACTTTGTCAACTTTTGTCCCAATTGTATGCAGAATTCTTCTCTGCCCAAGCCCTTCATGATTATGCATTTACTCTGAGCTTAAAACTTCCCCATTTTGCAGGGACAGGGGACACTGCTGAAAGATCCCCGGTGTTCTCCTTACTTGCTACAAGTAATAAATCCTTCCTTCTCCCAATCTTCAGCTTGGCTGTGTCTTTTGGCTGGACACCCACCAAGAGGGTAACAATCAGGTAGACCTCCTTGAGGAGGTGTCATTTAAACTGGGGTCTGATGAACTAATATATATAAAATAGATAAACAACAAGTTCATACCGTATAGCACAGGAAAATATGTTCAATATCTTATAGTAACTTATGGTGAAAAAGAATATGAAAATGCATATATGTATGTTCATGTATGGACTGAAGCATTATGCTGTACACCAGAAATTTACACAACATGTAAACTTCAATAAAAAAAAACTGTATCTGTATCTATATCTATATAAACTGGGGCCTGACGAAAGAGGTATCAGTTCAGTTACTTCAATTGCAAGCAATAGGGACTGTCTGTAAACTGAAGTAAGCAGACTCCTTTTAAGAAGGAATTAATTGGAAGGAAATGGGAGAAATGTGGTGGAATACGAGTTGTCCCCCCCAGATCTGCTCTTCACTTTTACTAAACTAATAAATTTTTAATTGGGAACAGGAAGCCCCCTGTTAGAGACCACATTTCCCAGTTTCTCTTAAAACCAAGTGTGGTCAAGTTCTCATCTCATCAACAGAATATCAGTGAAAGTGATATGTGCCACTTCTGCATCGCTTACTTAAAAATAAATTAGTTATCCTCCAGTTCTGCTCTTTTGCCCTTCTCCAGGGCTAGATGGCGCCAAAGCAAACCCCTAGAAGTGCCCAGCTTTAAACATGCAAATGAAAATATCATATGGTAGAGCATCAAGAGGAAAGAAACCAGAGTTCATGGATAACTTAATGGAGCTGAATCACCCTGCCAGCCTGGGCCACTTCTACCTCTGGACTGTTACATGAGAAATAAGCTGCTGTAACCAAGCAGGAACATGTGTAGCCTTCTTGGGACAGACTGCCCTCTCCTCCCCTCCCCACCATGTCCTCTTTCTGCATTTTGTTTGTAGAAAAACTTTAGCCTCCTAGGCCTTCCTCCAGTTCCAAAGAATAAACTTAATCAGAGAAGTGAGAAAATGCAGAAGCAAAGGAAAACAGTCAAGCAAGACAAAATAATAATCATTTAGCCATTAAACAAAGTCAAGGACCTTTAGTTCCTCCTCAAGGGCTATATATAATATTCTGAGCTGTATTCTTTGAATTGTTTGGCAAAGACTGAAACCCTCACCAGGTGGAAGAAATTAACTGTATGCTGCCCACAAGCACATAGACCCCAGACTGGTTGGAACCAGAAGGTTGATGATGTTGACTCCCAATTACCTCACCACCAGCCAGTCAGGAGAATGTCCACGAGCTGATCACAAACCCCGCAAACCCTCTCACTCACCCTGTCTTAAAAACCCTTCCCTGAAAGCCACTGGGGAGTTCAGGTCTTTTAAGCGTTACCTGCCTGGACTTCCTGCTTGGCCCCCTAAAATAAACACTGCACTTCTCTTAACTACAACCGGTGTCAATAGATTGGCTTTACTGCGCTGGGATGAGTGGACCCAAGTTTGGTTAGGTAATGCTGCTTTTTCATTTAGATCACTATATTTTGGGATCTCTATTATTGCAGTATACTCTCTACTCTAATTTAGGGAAGCTCACAGAGGAAAACCTTGGCCAACCAAAACTCAGAAAGGGTGGAAACTGAAAGAGCTCCAGACACTCCAGGGCACCCCACTGGAACGAATCAGCCTCAGCCTCCTGGGAGTTTGTGTCCTGTATCCTCCTACAATCTGTATTTAGAGTCATATCCATTTTTATTATGACTTGTAAATAAAAGTTTTATGTTCTGCTTTTCTTGTTTGTCACTATACTTTTAGTAGCAGTATAAGTCTCTCAGTTTAGTGTATAATTTATGATGCTTTAAACTGAACCACTATCAATTACACTAACCACCACTTCATCTATACTTCATCTATACTTTTCACCCATATTGTTTTATGAATTGGTAGTATGCGTAATATCCAGTGCTAAGTTAATTATGCACAAGCTCAAATTAGTGTCTGCTTTTTTTAGGTTCTGTGACTCTTCCCCCAGCTTTATTAAGGTATAATTTTCAAATAAAATTGCTAGATATTTGAAGTATACAACGTGATGAGTTGTATACACTGGGAAAGTTAATTAACTTGATGGCAGGAATCCTTTATCATATATTTACTTTTTTGAATCTGTTACCTCATATATTTACTTCTTTTGTGTGAGAACCTTTGGGGGCACTCTTTTAGCAAATTTCAATTACACAATATGGTAATTATCAACTATAATCACCATGTTATACATTAGATTATCAGACTTTATTTATCTTATATCTGAATGTTTGCACCATTCTACCAACCTCTCCCTATTTCTGCCACCCACCTGCCCCTGGCAACCACTTTACTCTCTCTGTTTCTATGAGTTCAACTTCTGTAAAATTCCACATATAAATGAGACTAGGCAGTATTTGTCTTTCTCTGGCTTATTTTACTTAGTATAATGCTCTTC